AAACGGGGGGCGACCTTTGTGTGGACGCGCGCAGCCCCTGGATCTGGAGTGGCTCCATCAGCATAGGCTTGGCTTTGCCTTCCCTCAGGTGGGATACCTGGAGGTCTCCGCCTACCCCAGTCAGTTGTCCAATCCCACCTGGGGGAAGCGTTGCCAAGGAGATCAGGCCAGGTAGGGGAGGGATTACCTGCCCACACAATAGAGGGAGGATCTTACCTGGGAATCCTCACTTGGCTCCAGAGCTTCTCCCACCCTACCCACCCTCAGTTAATGCCTTATTTTGCAGGTTAACTTTTCTTCACAGGTTTTGCAGGTTAACTTTTCTTCACAGGTATGCGGGCGCTGCTACGTTAAGGTCGCTGTCAAAGGGCCGAAAAGGAATTTCCCTGCATTGGCAGGTTTCGCCTTTCCCGTAGCAAAACGTCACAACTTTGGCGGTATCAGGCCTTGGGCGGAATCCTTCAGTCTATCTTCCTCTTTGCAGCGGCGATACCAGGGTTCCCCGTTAAAGGGGTTTCTGAAGGGAGGCTTTGACCGTACGCCGAAAGGTCGTCATTGCTCTCCCCTGCGGCGGCGGCGTAACGGGGGCAGCTATCTCTGCTTGAACATTTGTTCTCCAGAGCCGGCCCATCCCCCACACAAACACTGGATAACCCTGATGTTCCCTAGGTCCCCAGCCGGGGACTGGGGAGGGAGAACGCCCAATGCCTGAGCCAAGATCTACCCACATTTGAAATTTAATAAAGTTGTGGCCAATTTAATCCCATAGCACGTTGTCTTGAGTCGTTATTCCACATGACGGGGGCGGGCGCTCGGGATCTGGGGACTCCACCTGTCCATGCAAACACTTTATTTTAAAGAGTATGCCCTGTGACGTTTCAGAACAATATTTCTATTATCGTTCTAATAACGTTTAAAAGGTCAATGTAGATCCAGCCCTGGTCTGAAGGCGCATGAAGCAACCACCTTGCTGGGTCTGGCCTGGGTTTGGATGGGAGACCTTCTGGGAAGCACAAGTATTTTGCCTCAGAAGAAAAGTGGGATACAGTGGTACCTCAGGTTACATACGCCTCAGGTTACATACGCTTCAGGTTACAGACTCCGCTAACCCAGAAACAGTACCTCAGGTTAAGAACTTTGCTTCAGGATGAGAACAGAAATCGTGCTCCGGCAGCATGGCGGCAGCAGGAGGCCCCATTAGCTAAAGTGTTGCTTCAAGTTAAGAACAGTTTCAGGTTAAGAACGGACCTCCAGAACGCATTAAGTACTTAACACGAGGTACCACTGTATATGCATGCAAGAAAGAAAGCACACAAAAGGATAACCTCCGAGTAAATTGTCATTGGTCTTCTTACCCTAAAAGTTTTTTCTCTCCCCCTTTTTTCCCCCTTTTTTTGCTAAACTGACTCATAAAACAAGTTCAGTGAACTATTCCAGCGATTCAGGCATTTGCCTGGGCATGACAAGCTGGTAAACTGATTACAGTCTTGAATAACTGAGAGCTAGTAGATAATGAGATTTCCATGTGCCATATGGGCACCCAAATGTTTTCTATTTCTCTCTCTCTCTGGATGCTATCTGCTCCACTTGATAACAACACATGATAGAAATTTTTTATATATTTTTGTTTTGAGGGGAGGGATACTTCCTGCAGCCCCTGGCTGTGAGATAACAAAATATGCAAGGTTAAGTGATAAAAGACAACAGCTCCAATGTGAGATGTTCTATTACATTCATAAATCCAAAGCGAATGGGGCACTAATGTGATTTCAAGCACGTTACATGCTAAGGGCAGCACATCAAGAATGGAACAGAATCTGCTCAGGAGGAATGAATTGAAAAAGCTAGAAAGCTCAAGAGCTCTTACCCTTCATTTAAGGTAAGAGTTCCACAAAGGCTATAAACATATCTAATATTTTCTACTTTAAACAGTGGTGCATATATGTTTTGTGTAAGCACAATGTTGTTGTTTAGTCTTTTAGTCGTGTCCAACTCTTCGCGACCCCATGGACCAGTGCACACCAAGCACTCCTGTCTTCCACTACCTCTTGCAGTTGGGTCAAACTCATGTTGGTAGTTTCGAGAACACTGTCCAACCATCTCGTCCTCTGTCGTCCCCTTCTCCTTGTGCCCTCCATCTTTCCCAACATCAGGGTCTTTTCCAGGGAGTCTTCTCTTCTCATGAGGTGGCCAAAAAATTGGAGCCTCAGCTTCAGCATCTGTCCTTCTAGTGAGCACTCAGGTCTTATTTCCTTCAGAATGGAGAGGTTTGATCTTCTTGCAGTCCACGGGACTTTCAAGAGTCTTCTCCAGCACCATAATTCAAAAGCATCAATTATTCGGCAATCAGCCTTCTTTATGGTCCAGCTCTCACATCGCCATTTATCGTTTTTCTGGGTTCTCTTTCACTTCCCCACACACCCCAATTGTTATACGTTTAACAAGAGTGATCAGAAAACACCAAGAGACCTGTTATTATAATCCAGTTTTCCTCAACCTGATACCCTCCAGGTGTTCTGAGCTACAACTCTCATCAGACCCCTGGAGCATGGCCAATACATGCCCTGCAGGGCACCAGGTTGGGGAGAGTGTTATAATCAATGTGCTGAAGACAGGAAACTGACCTACTGATAGGGTCAGTCCAACTAGGAGTGAGGCAGCCTTTTGAGATCGCACATTTTGGTTGACATCAAGGATGGCAAATTGTCAGAACGCAGACTTTTGTTTCATCCAGCCTATGGGTAGTTTGAAAGGTGCTGTCTAGACATTGGACTCCAATTCCCAGCAGCTCCAGCCAATCATGGATGTTGGAGCTGTAGTCTAACAACATCTGGATGGCAGCATGTTAGCACCCGTAGGCTAGTCCATGGTTTCTTGCCCTCTTTATTGATTGCTATGGGGTGAATTGGGATGCGGGTGGCGCTGTGGGTTAAACCACTGAGCCTAGGACTTTCTGGTCAGAAGGTCAGTGGTTCGAATCCCTGCGACGGGGTGAGCTCCCGTTGCTTGGTCCCTGCTCCTGCCAACCTAGCAGTTCAAAAGCATGTCAAAGTGCAAGTAGATAAATAGGTACCACTCCGGCGGGAAGGTAAACAGCGTTTCTGTGCGCTGCTCTGGTTCACCAGAAGTGGCTTAGCAATGCTGGCCACATGACCCAGAAGCTGTACGCCTGCTCCCTCGGCCAATAAAGCGAGATGAGCACCGCAACCCCAGAGTCGGTCACGACTGGACCTAATGGTCAGGGTTCCTTTTTTATGGGGTGAATTTAGATATACCAGCATTTTTGGTGTAAGTTACACAGAGATTTTTAGGTGGGGGCAGTGAAATAAGGAAGTTAGACTGCAGTATAACTTTGTTTATACCTCTCCCCAATACACCCATTCCCCACTCTTGACATGCCCCCTCCTTTTGCCCTCTACCCTGGAGTTACTTCTGCCGGCTTAATTTCTTAACACCATCTCATCCTAACATCTCCCAGCCACTGTATCTGGAGTTGAGGACTATACTGATATGTATTAATCACCAGTCATTTTTCTGAGTTCCCTTATTTTCTCAGGAGCTCTTCGGCAATTGCCAAGGTTAGATTGGTTTATTAAAACAAACAGCTCTACAGTCCAGACTAGAATAAAGGCAAGCATTATCTGTTCATTCTTTCTCGCAATTGGAATATTTCAAAGGCCTCCCTTTTCTATCTGAATTATATTTCCTTTTTGTTTAAGTTAAAAAGAAAAGAAGTTTGGGAGAGTTGGAGAAGTCCTGATCAGCAAAAATTATAATTCATGCACTTTCCTAGTTAATAACCTCTTATGCACTTTAATAATTTAAGCTAATTATCAGTGGGACTGACTTCTGTGTATACTTCAATTATTGCTTTTAGTACATTTTCTCTCTTTTCTTTCATGTTAGCAATGCCACATGTCTTCAATGTGTCTCTCGTGCCCATTATTGCTGCTCTTCTCATATGATAAACTTATTATCTGTGAGAATATGACCTTGACACAGCAGAGGGGAGGGGGGGTCTTTAAAGGATAGCTCAATTAAAATCAAATACCTCTGCTTAGGTCTGCATGCCATTACTATTCATAAGACTGTGCAACATGATTCGAGCCAGAAGTGCTCATGCAACTTGAATGTTTGTTCTGAAGGAATCATTTTGAAAATGTTTGTGCTGCCATATGCTCTGTTCGTTTCAGTCACTTGGTTGGCTTAACATAGAATCTGATGAACATCAATTCTTTCTTTCAGATGTTCAATTAGCAGATGTGGGGCAGGAGAAGGGTTTTGCAGTCCGTTCCCATCTCTGACCCCCATATTATCATTAGGCTCAGCATCTGTTGTTTCTTCCTTTCCCCAACCTTCTGTACCAAGCATGGAAGTCAAGGAGGAGTGGAGGAGGACCAAGGAACTGGGAAGCCTCTGAAGGCTGAATTTGGAGTGTGATCTGAAGACTCCCTTTCCTTGCCAAAAGATGACTTGTCCTCAACCCATGGCTGTTATGTTTACTTAGGAGTAACAATTCTCTTAGTAGGCATCTGATGACCACTGTGCGAGGAGATGTAGTGATGTCCACCAACAGGAATGGCTTTGAAAGAAGAGTTGATGCAGATTATCTAGACCCATTTCATTCTGGATTCAGACAGAGGTATGGCCCTGAAACAGCCTTGGTTTCTTTGACTTATGAGAAAGGAGGAAGATGTGAGTGGGACATAGCAGAGGACAGCTTTCTCATGTAGACAGCATAACCAGAAACACCCTTCCTTGGATTCTCGATCTCAGTCATGCTTATTGCCCTCCACATACTGAGTTTTCTAAAATATATTAATCCTTTGTGAGAATCCAGTTTAAGGGGCAATTTATATATAACTGATATATATATTTGGAAGTACTTACAGGTGTGATTAATTTATTCTGTAATGCAATATGTGTAAAACAGTGCTGGAAGCCAAAGTTTAAAAAAGTAATTAATTGGTGGAGTACATAATTTGGAGTTGAGTAATTATATTGTGTTTGAATTCAGTATATGATGACAGAATGTCTAATTTCTTATTCCTGCAGCTTGATTATCCTGGATAATGATGTGCAATTAATGCTGCTGTTTCAACCATAGTTTGAGTTGTTTTGCCTTCGGATCAGGCTTAATCCCCGCTGGTCATTCAGTTCCCCAGGTATCTTCCAGCAAGGCTAACTCACCTGTAGAACAGAACGAGTTTTATTAGCTGTGCGGATCCATCCCACGGAATAAGAATGAGAAATACTGAGCCCAAATGGACAAATGGTACCAAGAGCAATTGCAATGCTAAGAGCCTTGATTTTGAACCAGGCAACCAAATCTCACCTCAGCCTTAGGTAAGCTGCCTTGCCTCCTCACTTTCACAATGACTGGTGACCTATTCTGCACACTTCAAATGCTAGCACCAGCCATTACAACTGATAACAGGCTTACTCAAGCCGTGCCTTCAATTCCACCACCATAAGTAGCTAAGCACTGTGTGAAGACACCCTTTCTCAACAGAAGGAAGCAAGGGCTTTCTCTGAAGCAATGCCTTCAGCCACACACACTGAGGAGAGGGCTGACAGCGAAGGCAGGATATTGGGGCCCCAGTGTAACACCATGTACATCACAGCAGCCTCACCAAGGTCCACTGTCCACCCCAAACCCATTATTTTGAAGAGGAGTGGGTTTGTTTGTTTTTACTTTTGGGGAATCAGTTTGAGGGTGTTGCTTCTTTTCTTTCTCTGTGTGTTTTCTCTGAGTTCTGTGCATGTAGGTGGTTCTGGCTATCACCTGCTTTTCTTCTGTGAAATGGCTACTTTTGTGCTGCCTGCAACAGATTTTTAGATTTCCAAATGTGCCTCCGGGTCCAAATAGGTTGAGCACCGCTGATAAAACTGGTGCTTAAGCCCAGTCAGGTCCAGATGCTTATTTAAGATTTGACAGACCAACTCCAAATCATTGTCCTCAAGGACTGGGTGTTTCCCTGAGTGTTTGCTATGCAGTTCCACCAACTGTGATTAGTGTCCTGAATGTGGATGAATAAAGGAGCACAACAGTTTTGGATTTCATCTTTCCCCCCTCTGCCATAGCATCAAGTCTTATCGGACAAGTGCTTTTGAGACTCAACTCTTTTGCCATGTAACTGCTTCAAAAGCAGAAGCCCAAAGCTCCTTTGGAACAAGTCACCCATGTAATAATGGGCAAATCTGTCAATTTCAGTTGCTCTCCATTTCTTTGCTTTTTCCAGTTCTAAGTTCAGGCCTAGGGATGCGGGTGGCGCTGTGGGTAAATCCTCAGCGCCTAGGACTTGCCGATCGAATGGTTGGCGGTTCGAATCCCCACGGCGGGGTGAGCTCCCGTCGTTCGCTCCCAGCTCCTGCCCACCTAGCAGTTCGAAAGCACTCTTAAGTGCAAGTAGATAAATAGGTACTGCTTTATAGCGGGAAGGTAATCGGCGTTTCCATGTGCTGCGCTGGTGCTGGCTCACCAGAGCAGCTTCGTCACGCTGGCCACGTGACCCGGAAGTGTCTTCGGACAGCGTTGGCTCCCGGCCTCTTAAGTGAGATGAGCGCACAACCCTAGAGTTGGACACGACTGGCCCGTACGGGCAGGGGTACCTTTACCTTTACCTTTAAGTTCAGGCCTGCAAATTTCTACATTTGTGTGCTTTTTGTTGTTGAAAACAAAGTCCTCATGAAAATTCACCAGCATCTTAGCACAAATTTCTTCTAATAGGTACATTTGTGTACAAATTCTTGCAAAGCTTTCCCCCTCAATATAATGCATCTTTGTATGTTATTTTCACTCATACAGTACATACATTTTATGCACATTTTCACCCTAGTACACACATTTCTGTACATGTTACTTGGCTGGAGAACTGCCGTGCAAAATTCAGATAATTACAAATTCCAATGATTGGCCGTGTTTTGGTTCACATACTGTTTCAGTAAGTGCAAATTAGGTAGGTTCACCTTGGAATGTGAAGTGAATCAAATTTCTCCCTCACCCACGCACCCAATGCATGGGCTGTGATTCTGTCTGTGGTTCACTGGAGTTGTTTTTCTCAAGAGCAGAAGCCAAGCCAATTTTAAACATTGCTACTGTCTTCCTTCTTCTTTTTAAAAATCTACTCTAGAGATTTTACTTGTGGAAGTATCAGTGCAGGGAGCAAGAATCACTGCTATGCTATAATGTTTGCTTATGAGAAAAGTCATTTAAAATCCTCTAAAGTCTTTTTAATGAATAATTTCAGCTTTGCTGTAGCAATTATCTGCACGGTTATTTTCAGTGGATTAAGACATGTTTCAGGGAGTTCATTTTCCTTGCTTCTGACCAAGGCCAATGTTCTACAGATTTTGCTATCCACTTTGCAAGACTTGGTTTCATTTCCCAAGAAATGAAATAATTTCTCTTGCTCTGGATAGGAATGGAAAGAATGCAGGGGTTGTGCCTTATTCTTTATTACAAGATGTCCAAGGCAATTGCGTTAGTAGGTCAGCGATCATAATTACATACAATATTGTAGTTAATAAAATGCATGCAAGAAATATATAGTCTATGAATATTAACTCCATTATGACCCATTCATCACTTTCTTATCTTGTACCTGTGAAAGTTGGCACATTTTACATGTTTTCAAAATGAATACAATTATTTTTTGTCCGCATGAAGGAAGATAGCTTTATTAATTTGTTTGGCCTCAATCCTGTGACTTATGGGGCAAGGAATAGATTGTGAACCTATGGATAAGCGCACTGACTTCACTGAAACAGTGAAGTAACCATGAAATTGCCCCCAGAGATTCATGAACGTTTTGCCCCAGCTGAAACCAGACCAGCAGCAGGAGCAAAGAAGCCCTGTCTGGGACTTGCATTTTCTGGACACAGTAGGTGCAGAACAATTTGCAGCTGTGAGCTAATATATGAGTATTTGCTTCTGGATAAACTCACTAACCCACAGATGTCTGTGCAGCCATTTGTAGTACATCGAAAGCCTAGATGAAGCTTTTCCCAGTCTATTTCTGTTACTTGGTTTAGTGACCTATAGGTGTTTTTTACCCGGTAGGGATTCAGATAAGAGAATATACTAGGAGAAGCCAGCAACTGCGGCAAGAACTTATTATATGCAATGCATGTGCTCAGTTGTGTGGTTTGGGGAGAGTTCTAAGGGCAAGAAAGAAAGAACTGGAGCATCACATTTGGCTCCTGAGCCTGAGGTTGCTTATCTCCACTTTCCTAACTTGCAGTCAGCCCTCTGTTTGAGTGCCACATGTCTCATCACTCAAACTGAAGGAGAAACGCCCCCTTTCCCTTCTCTCTCTCTCCCTCTCCTTCCCTCCCCCCCTCTCTCTCTCACACACACACGAGGCAGGCAAGTAATAACATTGCCTCAGTATTGAACATACTACTCATGATCAAGAGTTTGCAGAGGCAAACAAGTAACATCTCAGAACACAGTGTTATTAAGGGGCGGTATTCTGTGTTTTGTTTTGTTTTGCCTTTTTGATAGCACCTTTGAGTCTCGTTTAATTAAGGAATTTTTAATTCATCCCAGGCAACAGTGAAGCTATCATGTCAGGCACAAATGATGTGTTGAGCCCAACATAATTGTAGACCTTTGCACATGGCATTTGTTTAAGGTTATTATCGAGAAATGATGGACTGCACCAACCTCTCAACAATAAAGCCAAACATTCGCAGGAGTTACGCTGAGCAGGAGGGAGGTGCGCCACACATAAAAGTGACATTTTTGTTTCTCTTTAAAGTTCCCCTAAGCAGCGCCATTCCGGTGGAGATTTTCCAGTACTTACGCCTTTGTAACCTTTATTTGTGATTTGGGGGGGGGGGGGAGAAAGAAAACCCTTATGTAAACTGTCTCAGAAATAAATGAAAATTCTGCTCGTGTGGAAATGCCACCAGCATCAGCGGGCAAATCTATAGAAAGTTCTTTTGTGTTTTGTTTTGTTGTTGTTTTTTAAAAAAAATCCTGTTTCTGGTATTTGCAGAAACACTGGTTAATTATGAAGAATATAAAGTTTGTTTTGACAGGATGCTAAAGTAGGGGGAATAAAAACAAGAAATTACATATAAAGTAGGTACGGTAAAGGTACACTTGATTGTTACCAAGTGTTCGTTTTTGTGTAATACATTTCATCTCATTCGAAAACACCTAGTAAGGTCATGACTATAGCTGAATAAAGAATCATTATTTACACAGATCTTCAAATGGTAGGCCCAGTAAAGGGAAAACAGAGAAGCTATTTCCATTACTTTTATTGGAATCAAACCTACTCTCAAATATGGAAAAATTCTGACTCATGAGCTTGCATATATAATTTGGCACTTCTGAAGCTGCCTTATATGTCATGGTTAATTGTTGACCCATCTGATCCAATATGGTCCTGTGGTCCTCCAACTCCCATTGGCACCAGCCAGGATAACCAGTGGTCAGGGATGATGGGAGTCAATCAATCAATCAATCAATCAATCAATCACCAACTAGAGCAGGGGTAGGCAAACTAAGGCCCGAGGGCCGGATGCGGCCCAATCGCCTTCTCAATCCGGCCCACAGCTCATCTGGGAATCAGCGTGTTTTTACATGAGTAGAAGGTGTCCTTTTATTTAAAATGCATCTCTGGGTTATTTGTGGGGCATAGGAATTCGTTCATTATTTTTTTTTTCAAAATATATTCCAGCCCACCACATGGTCTGAGGGACAGTGGACCGGCCCACAGCTGAAAAAGGTTGCTGACCCCTGAACTAGAGGGCCTTGATTGTTTTTCTTAACAAACTAAAGGCATCAATCAACCATGTTTTGTGGGGGGAGGACTAAAAGATCTGGGAATCGGGGTATAGAGAAGTGAAACATGAGTAATACAATACTATTTCCCCCTGCCATCTCATAAGTGAGTGACCAGAAGACTGGAGGATCAAGTCCAAATAAGGACTGGCCTATTAGGGCCCATTATGAATTGGATCTTATGGGTTAATAGCCAGTGCATAATGCATAACTAGGTAGCAGGTAGGGATAGTACCAAATGGGGTGTTAGGTATCTGTAAGAAGTCCACATTCAAAGAGTTCTGATGCCCTGTCTCACTAGGATGACTCCAAGTAAAAATTAGTCTTATGGCGGATTCATCTGTCTTCTTGACAACCTGATATACTTAAAGGGTGTGTAGTAAATTTGGCCAAGGCCTGAATACTGAGCTAATTTGGGTCTATTTGTGGGACGCGGGTAGTGCTGTCGTCTAAACCACTGAGCCTCTTGGGCTTGCCGATCGGAAGATCAGCAGTTTGAATCCCTGCGATGGAGTGAGTTCCCGTTGCTCTGTCCCAGCTACTGCCAAACTAGTGCTTTGAAAGCACACCAGTGCAAGTAGATAAATAGGTACTGCTGTGGTGGGAAGGTAAACTGTGCTTCCATGCAGTCTGACCTCCCTGTTTTGGTATTTGTTTTTGTGTGAAACATGGAATTACAAAAGAGTGAGACGGAATAGGTCCTACGCTGGAAGTGAGGTGGTTGCAGCGATAGTCTTCTTGACTTCTTGAGCCCGTAACAATCCTCAGCTTGAGATCTTTTGACTTACCTGGAAGGCAAGTGAACTTGGTGTGGTGGCAGAAAGACTGGTGTCTTTAGACCCGTGTGAGACCTGAGAACTCATGGGCTAAAGCAAGGATGGGGAACTGCAGGCCTGCGAGCCAGATGCAGCCCCCACCCCAGAGTTTCCATCTCATCCTTGGGACTCTGCCTCATCCCTATCTAAGCACCACCTTCACAGCTCAAATCCATTTTGAGCAGGACAGTGGCAGGAGAGAACATTAGTAATGGGCACAGAAGAACAGCTTTCGCTCTTTAATGTGCTACAGAATAACTCCAGGGTGCTCGTCATACAGCTTCATGATTTGTTTAGTATTTCACAGTGTGTCCTCAGCATCTTTACCACAAAATTGTTATAATTTAAGGCAGTTTTACGCAGGAGTTCCTCTTTTCTAATCAGAATCTTAGATATGATTGTTTCTGGAAGAAACATCTTAGCAACTGTATTTTTAAGCTTAGGCAGCCATTCAGAATCTGATTACCTTTCCACAGTTTCAAACAAAATGGATTAACGTGTCTCAGCTTTTATTACATTTTCGACACCTGTCATTTGGCATTAGGCTGACACTATGCAGATCTATTGCAGATCAGTATGAATGGACAGAATGTAATGGTATATTATACATAGGAAATGGTGATGGATAAAGCGAGGGTAATTTATGTTATGTTCCTATTAGAGTGAAATATTTCTGGGAGAGCCTTACACGCTTTAGGCAAATCTACTTTTCTGTGGAGTTTAGCGGTAGGAAGGCAACTAATTAATAACTGTTGCTATTGGGCGAGATCCAATGTAGCAGGAGAAAGTGTCTGCTCATACAATAGGGCTTCCCCTTCTCCCCCTTGCAACCTTCTGCACACTCCCAAAATCTACTGTGGGGTTGAAGAGAAATCTTCTCATTGCAGAAACAGATTTCCATTACACAAGCAAGCAGAAATCATTGGATGTCACCCTTTAGCTTTATTTATTCATTGCCTTATACAGTCCTACCTTGGTTCGCGAACACCTTGCTAGTCGAATGTTTTCGCTCCCGAATGCCACAAACCCAGAAGTGAGTGCTCCAGTTTGCGAATGTTCTTTGGAACCCAAATGTCTGACATGGCTTCCATGGCTTCCAATTGACTGCAGGAGCTTCCAGCAGCCAATCAGAAGCCATGTCTTGGTTTCTGAACATTTTGGAAGTTGTACGGACTTCCAGACCAGATTCCGCTCAACTTCCAAGATGCCACTGTAGCACAAGAAGTTTCAAGATGACTTAACATCAACAAATGCAATGTCATTATGAAACTAAATGACAGTTAAGTTGGTAAAGGTCAAGGGTAACCTGGATGGTTAAGTCCAGTCAAAGGTGATTATGGGGTGTGGCACTCATCTCACTTTTCAGGATGAGGGAGCCGACGTTTGTTCATAGATAGCTTTCTGGGTCATGTGGCTAAACCGCTTCTGGTGCAACGGAACACTGCGACGAGTGCCAGAGTGCACAGAAATGCCGTTTACCTTCCCACAGCAACATAATAACATTATGTTGGTGTTGGTGCTGACCTTTAAAGCCCTAAACGGCCTCGGCCCTGTATACCTGAAGGAGTGTATCCACCCCCATCGTTCAGCCCGGACACTGAGGTCCAGCTCCGAGGGCCTTCTGATAGTTCCCTCATTGCGAGAAGTGAAGCTACAAGTAACCAGGCAGAGGGCCTTCTTGGTAGTGGCACCTGCCCTGTGGAACGCCCTTCCATCAGCTGTCAAGGTAATAAACAACTATCTGACTTTTAGAAGACATCTGAAGGCAACCCTGTTTAGGGAAGTTTTTAATGTTTGATGTTTTATCACATTATTAATATTATTATTATTATTATTATTATTATTATGTTGGCAGCTGTTCAGAGTGGCTGGGGAAACCCAGCCAGATGGGCGGGGTAAAAATAAATAAATTATTATTATTATTATTATTATTATTAAAATTAAGTATAATAAGGGAAGACTGAAAATGATTATACAAAAATCTGCAACAATTAAAACACATCAACAGCCTCCCTAAAATGTCAGCATAATCAACACTAAAGTACCAGCCAGCAGCTAACTACAGCATAGCAGAAAGAAGAAAATTAAAAATTAAATGCTTGGGAGAAAAGGAAAGTGCTCAGAATAAACCATGACTTTATGACTGAGCTACAAGTCTTTCAAACTAGTGTTACTTTCAAACTTAGGACACCACAATGCACCACCAATCTCATCTACTGCAAGTGTCATTTATGTGGGGAGTGGTTTGCTTTCTGCCAAATTCGGAGTCTCTATCCTGCCCTGTACCTTATACCTTCTCTGCAATTCATTTCTGTGAAAATGAGGTATGAAGAAAACAAGCAGAAGTGCAATTGATTGCAAGCTTTCAGACTTTTAAGAGAATTTACTCATCTATTGTTTCAAAACAATAAAGCAGCCCTTACATTAAGCCACTCAGAAGACATTACAAAACATTTCCCCTCTTTCTGTCATTTTCAAAAAGCATTCCAGACTGACAAGAATCTTCTGTTCTAGTGTGCAAGGGAACAATTGTGAAGTGAAGCCATGCAAGCAGCTGACTGGTGTTCTGCATTGTTGTACATCCCATTATTTCCCCCCTTTTTTTGAATTTCACACTCAAGAAAAGTAAGTTTTCAAAAGATGACCTTAATGTTCTTTGTACTAATACAAATGCTAAACAATTAATTTCTATTGCACACATTTTTGTGACACATTTTTGAGACACACAGCAGGCCTAGTTCTGTCCTCAAACGTGTAACAAGACTGTGTGGCCCTGGAATAGTAAAGTATTTGGCACCTAAAGAAATACACAGAAATGCCTTCTCAGACGAGGATTTTAGGAATCATGGTTTATCACCGTGTAGGAGTTTAGGTGATACACGTAGCTAACATTACAAATTGTGCCTAAAAGTGGACCAGCACTGGTGTAACTGAAATGATAATGGAGCTGAATGCTTCCTTGACCAAATACTGGTCAAAACTCTTGCAAAAGCTTTTTGTCCTAGAGGAAGTTTACAGGATAGGTTGGCAGCCTTTCTGACCAACAGCACATTTGTCCTGTTCAAATTAATAATAATATTAATAATAATAATGTATTATTTATACCCCGCCCATCTGGCTGAGTTTCCCCAGCCACTCTGGGCGGCTTCCAATCAAGTGTTAAAAACAATACAGCATTAAATATTAAAAACTTCCCTAAACAGGGCTGCCTTCAGATGTCTTTTAAAAAGAAGATAGCTGCTTATTTCCTTCACATCTGAAGGGTGGGCGTTCCACAGGGCGGGCGCCACTACCGAGAAGGCCCTCTGTCTGGTTCCCTGTAACCTCACTTCTCACAATGAGGGAACCGCCAGAAGGCCCTCGGTGCTGGATCTCAGTGTCCGGGCTGAACGATGGGGGTGGAGACGCTCCTTCAGGTATACAGGACCAAGGCCGTTTAGGGCTTTAAAGGTCAGCACCAACACTTTGAACCGTGCTCGGAAACGTACTGGGAGCCAATGCAGATCTCTCAGGACTGGTGTTATGTGGTCCTGGTGGCCACTCCCAGTCACCAGTCTAGCTGCCGCATTGCAGTTTCCAGGTCACCTTCAAAGGTAGCCCCACATAGAGCGCATTGCAGTAGTCCAAGCGGGAGATAACTAGAGCATGCACCACTCTGGCAAGACAGTCCGCAGGCAGGTAGAGTCTCAGCCTGCGTACCAGATGGAGCTGGTAGACAGCCGCCCTGGACACAGAATTAACCTGCGCCTCCATGGACAGCTGTGAGTCCAAAATGACTCCCAGGCTGCGCACCAGGTCCTTCAGGGGCACTGTTACCCCATTCAGGACCAGGGAGTCTTCCACACCTGCCCACCCCCTGTCCCCCAAAAACAGTACTTCTGTCTTGTCAGGATTCAACCTCAATCTGTTAGCTGCCATCCATTCTCCAACCGCCTCCAGGCACTCACACAGGACCTTCACCTCCTTGAAAATTAAGTTTCATTCTGCTCACCTAACTCTTGACATGAGGCAACTGTTTGATACCATTAGTATGCACTTTCCTGATCATGAAGAAGTCAACTCAGAACCAACAGCACCTCGTCAAGAAAGTCTGGACTGGATTTTTCTGCCCCACTTGCCCATTCTGCTGTACGGATGTTGTTATTGTTTTTGTGTGGGTAACAACACCTAGTAGAGGAGGTTTTTTAAAAAAATGCCTCTGGATAATAGGAACTTTATACTGATGCATCGGGGCTCCTTGGCTTGAAACACCGGCTGAATTCAATGGGAGATTTCACAGAGCAATGTAGGCAAATGCAGAATTAAATGAGAAATGATAGGATGACATTCTAAAAATCCTTGCTCCAAATTATTCTAAAAGTCACGGTGCAAGAGGTATAATTGGCAGGAAAGCAGAGCGCTTGTCAGTCCACTGCACTAATTACCCAGTCAAGAGCTTGGAGTGAACTCCTACCAGCCTATGTCGTGGGTCTCTTCCGTCTTAGACAGAGCTGCTTCTTTTTCACTTCAGCTCCAACACGTTATTCTGAATTTTTAAAAACAGCATCTTCAATTTTTCAGACAAAGATCACCCCCTCCCCTGCTGCCTGCTAATATACAAATGTTACTGAGGATTGGCTACTGGCCTCATATTTTGTTTGGAAGCAAGATGGGAGATTAAGTGCAAAGCATATTTTATATAAGACAGCCGTCAGTCAGTCTCTCTCTCTCTCTCTCTCTCTCTCTCTCTCTCTCTCTCTGAATGAAACATGCAAAATGGCATTAAATGTATTTCACTGTGTCACCAAGAATTCAGTGGAGCCAGCAGTAATGAATATGCTTTTCTCCTCAGCTGGATGAGTGTTTCATTTCTGCCTGACAAGATCATCCGACAAGCAGACCCTGCACTGGCAATGTTGTATATTTTCAAAGGCATGTAAATTAGGTTGACAGGCTCATAAACATAAATTGGCAGGCATCCCACAGCAATGCTCGTTAAGATGCACTAATGCCATATAATAAATACATACTGGTATAATATCTCCATCCATACAGGCACACACAGCTAGGCAGAACATAAGGTGACCTACAATGCGTTTTGTACACTGCAGCATGTGGTGGCATTTAATGGCAACTGCAGAATTACTAAAGGGGTCCTTAGCCCTCGTAGTCAGGCTGATCTGTTTTCCAAGTAAGAAATGCAAAGAGGTCACATTGGGCTGGTGAGCCCATTTGGGATTCCCCTCACACACATCTTGTTAGGAGCGCTTGTTTGTCGAATGCTACAAGCGTTGGCTATTATTTATCACTCCTGCTGTTATTTGTAGCACTATTACTTTCAGTTTTACACATATCTTTATGGTCTTGTGTTCACCTTCACAACAACCCTGCATCATTCTCATTCTCATTTTACGGACAGGACAACAACTGCTGAGATATACAGTTTTGTTAAATGCATCCTTGAAAATTCCAAGGCTGAAGAAACAGGCTGCTAACACGTGCCCCTCAGGCTTATGCTCACTGCAGTGGCGTAGCATCCTTTACTGGCACCCGGGGCGTTTGTCTGCATGCACACTAGGTAGGATGAGGGATTGGGCACAGAGGGTGAACAAAACCCATTACAGCAGCTGAACCATCACCACCACCACTGGGCAGGCACAGGGCATGGAGGGTTCACAGGGTTGCACTGCGCCACCCACCCATGCAGGGGGGGAGCCCAGCCAGCTGACATGGCCCTTGGCAGGCACATCCCCCCAACACTAGCCAGGTGGCCATTCAGCAAGGGGGCAGGAGGCACATTGGCAAGGCTCTGAGGCCCAGAAACCCTTGGCAGCAAGCAGGGTAGGGATACCTGCATGGGTGCACTTGGCTCACACCCCCTCAAAACCGTGCACCAGGGGTTATGGCCCCCATGGCCCTCCCCACATTACGCCCCTGGTTCACTGACCCTTATCTAGTTTCTAGATATAGGTAAGATCAACTTTATTCACTGGGCTGATGTATTTTTAGCCAAGCTCAAAGTATAAGTGCCACCTAACTGCACTGCAGGACAAATGCCGTTCCCCATAACTTCGTAAAGTTTTGCATCTAATTTCAGAGTCAGACAAAGGGGTGCTAACTTGAATAAAATATTAGGGGGGCCCACCCTGCATAATCGATCACAAGATGTGTAACATGCACACCATGTGAATGGCAATGCCCATCAACTTCAGGTAGGAGTTGGCTCCTATGGTCAAACAACATCAGCACAGTACAGGAGAGGTGAGCAAGAAGAATACAGATGTATCTCTGCCATAGATTTTCCTGCGCATATTTTAGCTGTAAGTCATCAAAAACAATCCATCCAGTAATGGTTATGTAGTGTGCTGATTATAAGCAAAGCATTTCACAGTACAGTGGTACCTCGGGTTCCAGACGCTTCAGGTTCCAGACGCTTCAGGTTACAGACTCCACTAACCCAGAGATAGTACCTCAGGTTAAGAACTTTGCTTCAGGATGAGAACAGAAATTGTGCAGTGGTGGCGGTGCGGCAGCAGCGGGAGGCCCCATTACCTAAAGTGGTACCTCAGGTTAAGAACAGTTTCAGGTTAAGAACGGACCTCCAGAACAAATTAAGTTCTTAACCCGAGGTACCACTGTATAATATAAAGCAAGCCATGTACAGGCTGTATCCACTGATGCGGTCCTGTTTGTGCAATGACTCTCGCTTATGTAATGAGACATCCCTTCCTCCCTCTGCCTCGCAAATCTACTCTGAAGGGCTAGGGGACGCCCTCAGAAAAAAAAATCGGGAGGAGAGGGAGTTCCATTGTGTGAGCAGTAGTCCTTGCATAATTGGGAAGACTTCATTGGATATAAGTACCAGGAGGGCTTTTTTTCAGGGGGAACTTGCCAGAACGAGGGAGGTGTTCATGGTGAGTTCCGGCACCTCTTTTTCTAGAAAAATAGCACTGAGAACCAGTCATGACAGACTAGCTCCAAAGGGGAAAAGGAGGAGAATTTAGGGCCAGAGCAGATGATATTATTATTATTTATACCACGCCCATCTGACTGGGTTGCCCCAGCTACTCTGGCTAGCTTCAAACACATATAAATAACATAATAAAATGTAGCTATTAAAACGCAAACACGCACAACTCAGATTTGTGAGATGCAGCCACCCATTTCATGTATTGTGTAGTGTGGTCTTCAGACTTTCTTTCCTATTGTCTACTGCATCCCTCTCTACAAAATATTGTCTATGGCTGAAACACCCAACTGGAGTCATGTTTTAAGGGATCAAATGTCTCAACAGATTGGCAAGACCTTGCTTCATAAAGTGTACACCCATACTAATTTAAGTTGTGCTATATACTGTATTGCAGTGGGAGGGAATTAAGCCCCATCTTTCTATAAACAAACAAAAAAACCTTAGATCAAGTAAAAACTAGATCTATATGGCAATAGCCTATCTAACTATCAAGAGATTTTGACATTATGTTTTGCAATTTTCAATAGAATGAAAAACAATAATACAACAAATGGCTACAACTCTCTTGCATTAATCTTACAGCATATGATTGGAAAAAGTGATATGCATATAAAATAAAATAAACAACAAATAAGACAACTATCTGATATAGCCACTGCAAAACCCAGCATGAATTTTTCTTCAAATTTAATTTCAAAGAGCCTACTTTTTATCAGTTAGCTCTAGAATAGCCTTGGAAAAGCTCCTTGGAAACCCCTCAGCTATTTAGCCATTTATATACATGAGCCAACCAGGAATTTGGGCAGAGTCTATCCATCGCAACCATATCTGTCAAAAATAATTTTGGTAGGTTTATATCTTCTATAATCTTGTAATCCAAGCCAGTAACCAAAGAACATAAACCTAATTTCAGATGTCACTAAATTCTCTACAGAGGTTAGCGAATAATACAATGTGAAAACAGGCACTAATATGCCAATAAAAGTGTATATAGCAGTGTATATCCATCAGGTTTTTGAAATGAATTTTATAGCTGTGAGCCACTCAGAGGACTGTAAAGTCAAAAAGCACTACAGCGATGTTTAAGTGAACAAAAATAAGAATAAGTCTCCGGCACAGACTGTAACACCAAAAGTGGCAAATTTAGATTGTAATAGCTGAGCATCTACTGCAAATGAGGAGCAGGAAGAGCAGGCACCCCAGAAGCTGAGCAGAGGGTTCAGTAATACAGGGAAGATGCTTGTGACACAGCACCCAACAGGATTGCACTAAAGAGGTCAATCCTGCTGACTGCAGGCTGCTGCTGTTGTGGAAGCATGTTCCCTACACTGAAGGTGCTTGCAAAGCAGCACCCAGCAGGATGGCACAGTCTGCTTGCCAGCTGGTGAGCGGAGGGTTCAATCTTACTGGTTGCAGGGGTCTGCTTTGCAATTGTATTCCCTGCAGGGCTACCACTGCTGCACCCAGCAGGACTGAAGCCTCCTACTCTGTGCAGTGCAATTGAGGGGCGGAGTTGCAATCTATTTCTCCCCCTTCTCATTTACATGTTTAACTTAAAATAAAACCTAATTATACATCAACCCCAAACCAGAATTGATTGGAGGCTGGATCCGGGTCAGGTCAAATGTTTCCTGGGCTGCCTACATTCTGGCACACCCAGAGTCCTGGGTAAAGATAGATGAAGGACCCCTGGATGGTTGAGTCAAAGGTGACTATGGGGTTGTGGCACTCATCTTGCTTTCAGACCGAGGGAGCCAGCATTTGTCCACAGACAGCTTTCCAGGTCATGTGGCCAACATGACTAAACCGCTTCTGGTGCAATGGGACACCAGGAAAGAAACCAGAGTGCATGGAAACGCTGTTTACCTTCCCACCACAGCAGTACCTATTTATCTGCTTGCACTGGGATGCTTTCGAACTGCGAGGTTGGCAGAAGCTGGGACAGAAGTTGGCGGAAAGAACATATCTCAATGTGAGAGTTTTCAAATAAGAGACATGCCTCCCAACGTAGCAAAAATTAATTGCATTTGACACTTTTAATTTCAGGACCACTTAAGAACAGTTAATAGTCTCTGAATCGGGCTTGTCGGTTTTTCTTTATATTGTTGTAAGTTTGGGGCTGGGTGTATGTGTGCCAACCCTCTCTAATTCCTGGATCCAGCAAGTGTTAAAAGCTAATCAAGCTTTCTTGTTCCAGAAAGTAGCCAAACTAGCTTCCTGGTAAAGTGATGGGAGATTAAGGGGCTTGGTGCAAGATGGCAGAGAGGTGGTAGGCCCTCCCTCAACAGGCAAAGACAGTTGGGAGCGGAGGTCTAGCAGTGATGGGACCTAGAAGCAAAGCAGGATATTGGAGAGCGAGAGAACCAGTAGAAATGATTGAGAGCAATGCTTAATTTCTGTTTGAATCCTAGGGCACAGCCATGGGAGAAACAAGGCCCTTTGGGAGTGCTAAGAATGCATATATGTGTAAATAAACCATATATCATAAAGACACCACAGTCTCCAATGTGCCTCATTTCCAAAAGAAAACATAAACCCTGGGCAAGCACCCTGGAATCTTGTACCACTAGGAGATTGTGGTGGCATGCAACAATATTGTTCATTGTAAAAAGACAAATTTTCTGGATTTGATAGTTAAATGTGGCTACAAAATCAGAGTTGTCTGAATGTCTGATTCCAAACAGAAAGGGTAGAGTCTGACAGGAATCCTAAGCATGTTTGTACTCAGAAATAAGTTCCATGGGGCTACCTCCATAGCGAGTTTACAATTTCACTGCACATTATGAAAATTATCCAACGAGTATGCAATAAGCATCTGAATTTCTACCACTCAAGCAAAACTTTTTGACACTGTCAAACGTCCCCTACAAGTTTCTGTTCACAGTTATTACATTAAAAAAAAAATGTTCCAGGTTACACCATATGTATGCTGTACATAAATAACATATTTATTCTGTTCCATTGGTGTATTTTAATAAGCATTGCTTTGGGACACCATGCCTGACAATTTAGGTTTATGAGGCTGTCAACAGAATTTACATGGTTAGGAAAATGTGATACAAAGTTGCCAGAGTAAGCTGCTGTCTGTCAAACGTAGCTGTCATGGAAAAATGAAACTTATAGAAGCTTGTACAGGCAGGACTGAATCGAATATGACAGAAAGGGTTTCCCCTTCCTTAGGAAATGCAAAAGATGTGGGGTGCCTGTGATTGTGAGTCACATTGTATCATTCGTTTTCATCAGAAACACTTGTTTAAATATATTATCGAAAAGCAACATATTCTCCTTGGTGGGACTTGTTGTGTCATGCATATTCTGAGGCACGGGTCACCAATCCTTTTGGAACAGTAGGCGCATTTGGAATTATGAGAGAGTTGCTGTGGGTATAAGTCACAAAATGGCTGCTGTGGAGGGCATGTGGTAACATAAAATGGATGCCATGGAGCCATGGATTAACACAAAATGGCCAGCCCATCTAAAAGAGGTGAAAAAGAAGAAGAACCACAAAAAGCATACCCCCTAAGAAGCGGCATATCCCCCATGAATGGTGGGGGAAAGGCACCTACATCAACTACAGAAAAGAGCTCTTTCCACTTCTCACCTGTTCAGAATGGAATGGTGAGTGGCAAGGATGCCAACTTGAATAAAATATTGGGGTGTGTGTCTGTGTGTGCAGGGATGTCCCATCCCATATAATTGATCACAAGACATACATACCACTTGAATGGCAAAGCCCATCAACTTTAGGGCCTCCCTTCCCCCAGCCCCATCTAAATATTTTATGGGGGGGGGGGGGAGAAAGAGACCTCAGCCCCTAGGAGTTGGCTCCTATGTTGGGCGGGTTTCCAAACCTGACATTCATTTAAATGTGGACATGTCTGGGGAGGGCATATTCAATGCAAGAGAGGCTGAGCCAATTCAAACCAGACCAGAACATGAAGACCAAACAGTCTTTCATGGATTTTTGAAGGGATATTTACTGAGAGCTTTTACAGCTGCCATATTGACAGGGGGTATTGGTGGTTGCTTGTGAGTGCCTGCTTGGTGACCCTTCCTCTGAGGCCTTCTGTTAACATATCATTCTTCTGACCAGAGCCAGGTCCCAATTTGAAGGTTCTCTAAGTGCCTTCTAGATTCCCTGTCAGTGGTCCCTGGTACCTTCCCTGATGGTGGGGATAAACAGCCGCCATTTACATTTTCCACAATGCCCCAGAATGGTGCTGTAATGGTGTGGGAAAACAAAATGATGACTATACTCAGTTACCAGCTGCTACTTGGCATACCAGACGCTTTTTTTAAGGATACCAATGTCAGGAGCAGCTAGGGGTCTTGCTGTTGCTGAGGAGACCAGCAGCTGCTCCTGACATTTGTTTTACAGGTGAGTAGACAGTAGTTTGTTAGCGGATAGCAATTAGTAGCGCCAAAGATTTTACCCATGCACACCCTCCCTCAACCGTTCTCCATCAATTAATGAGAAAAAAAGAAGTTGCATTTGAAAATGATTAAAGGAACGAGAACAGCTCAGTGAACTTCTTGGTGGTGCTGCGAAGAGGGGTTTTTTTTGTGCTTCACCTATTTTTCAAGGCGGTCAGGGAGTGATCTGCAGCCTTTCTGGGTGCTTGCCTTTCTTGAAAACCCTGTGGCATCCTCAGGCGGGCTTTCCTATAAGCACAGGAAATCTGGAAGTCTGTCTGCTGTGTGTCTTAAATCTGTTCACTATTAGTCATTTCCCTGTGTGTAAAAAGTCTTTTTACTGTTTAAGGTAAAAGGAGAGACTTCCCTCCAAAACAAAATCAGCAAGCACACCAATCTCAGTAGTCAAGTGTCCCCAGCATCCTATGCTCCAGTGGAAGACATCATGAGGGAACACATTCAATGTTTTTTGTTTTCTTTTTCAGACCAGGAAGCATGGGGAGCCAGGAAGGCTACAGAGTGCTGGAGAAATATTTATTGAAAAGAAACCACACACACATACCACCCATGTCCACCAAAAAATGGTTTCCCCATGTGGATGAATAGTTTTCTCCTGTGGGTTCCTGCTTTGTATTGTTTTTAATTTTGTCTCCTGCTATTCTCAGAGTTCCCTTTAACTGCTTTCTAGCCGTTTTTATTGTATTTTGAACATCTTCTTGAGACATGTATGTGGAAGGCAATAAGTAAGTAAGTAAGGTAAACTCGACCCCACACCCTCCAACATTCAATTAATTCTAAAGTGCTCTGACAATGAGGTGGAAAAGTAGAAACCCCTTTTAGAGGTGAAGAACTCTTTTGAGAAATTGGAGTACAGGTTTTAGTGATAGCTATTATCATCACCAACTGACGATTTTTTATTTTTACAAGCGATACAGTAATCAGGCTATTTTTAAAAAAATAATATTTATTAATTTTCAACCATTTAAACACAACAAAACAGAAAGACAAAAATAAAAAGAAAGAACAAAAAAAGAAAAAACAGAAAAACATAAAACTAACAAAGCATGACACAAACCATTTCAAACACAGAACAATTTCAATGTCTTATCTTTCATTCCCTTATTTCCACAACCTCCTCACACCTCCCTTTGTTTTCCACTTCTATTAATTATTTCAGCAATTCCTTTCCATCTTCCTCTGTTTTCTATCCTATAATTATCTTGACATATTCTAGCCTTATTTTCCCTTTAATACACTATTAATCTATTTATACTTGATTCCTTATAGCATTTCTACTAAAGCCATATAACTTCATTCCAACATTTTTCAAACATTCATTATTTTTACAGTATTTCTATAAATAGTCTTAAACTTTTCCCAGTCTTCTTCCACCAGCTCTTCTCCCTGGTCTCGGATTTCTGCCAGTCGTTTCCGCCAATTCCATATAGTCCATCAACTTCATCTGCCATTCTTCCCGAATGGATAAATCTTGTGTCTTCCAGTACTTCACAATGAGTATTCTTGCTGCTATTGTTGCATACATGAGACAAATTCTATCCTTCTTTAACACCAATTGACCGACCATGCCCAGGAGAAAGGCCTCTGGTTTCTTCAAAAGGGTATATTTAAATACCTTTTCATTTCGTTATGAATCATCTCCCAGAGTGTCTTAATCCTTGGGCATGTCCACCAAAGGTGAACTCTAATCCTCAAATTCGTCTGTTTTTCCTTAAGTTCAGTCATAGCGAGCGTCAACTTATGTTCATCAAATTGCCTCTGTAGGGCTGGGGCTCTCTTTCTCTTTCTCTCCAGTTGTGTTTCTGTACCTTCAACAGCAACAGCTTTTTCCTTGACTTCCTCCACAGCTTGCCATATCAAAATAGGTTCTTGTATCAATTTCTGGGTGGTTTCTGTATTGGTATTGTCCATACTCCCTGCATTCAAGTCAACCTCAACAATTGAAACATCCACTTTCGCATTTATCATGTCCATTTTCCTGTGAAGCTGATCCAATGAATCATTTATCTCATATAATGCAGCCACCAAAGCCTCTTCTGTCGACATTCCTCTTAGTTTCAAATATACTAGTACAAAGACAGCAACAAAAAAGAACAGGAGGGCCTAATAATAGACCTCTCCTGGATTGTTACCAAGTCCTCCCAGACCTTAATGTTTTATCAACAGTTGACTGGTCTGTTTTTCCTCTTCCACTTACAATAACATTTGAAAGATTCAAGGTCAGTCCCAGAGTCTCACGGTTTTTAACTTGCAACTGGAAATTCCCCTAGTACAACTCTTGTAAATCAACCAGTTTCAAAGGCTTCCACTAGGGGGAAACAGTTTCTATTTGTAATAGTCAATAGTATCCTCTTTTAAACAATCCAAAGTTAGTTTCAAATTAGTTTCAATTTTCAGTTACTTTTACTCCTTTTTAAAGCAGCTGGAGACAGTAGAAACAATGTATTTCTCTTATTTAGCTAGCTGTCAATGAACGTTCTAAGCGCTGTCAATGAACATTCCAAAAGATGTCAGTCCTACTAGCAGCCCGTTCCCAGGGTCAGAGTGGCGGTGTTTTAAATCTTTTCACTCTCTCCCGCAGGCATACTCAATCCGCAACTTCCCCCTCTCTTCTCCTGCCTCCAAGAGGGGGTTTAATGTTCTTTACCGTTGGAAATTTGATCTTTTACAAAAAAACCTTCCAGGACTCCAGCTTGCAACTTCATTGCCTCAGTCTATTTACACAAGGGGAAGGCGGACTTCCTGTTTTGAACCTCCCCGTTACGATACCAAATTAAACTTTTAGAAATCCAATTCTTCCGTTTCAGCTCTACTCACGGGTAATTACTTTAAAGTCAAATTGTCCACAGGAAAAGGTCAGCACTCTCCGGCAACAGCTATGCGGCTTCGCTCCGTGGAAGAAGCAGACGATTTGATGCACCGCGTCGCTCCGGAGCCCCAAAAACCGGGGTTCCCCGCGAGTGGGGGAGGCGCAAAAGGTGCCCGCCGAATCCCACGTTCACAGGCTTCTCCCGCCTGTGATTTTAATGGGTCTCCACCTTCGCCGTGGAGGCCAGACCCAGATTTCCACGATGCAGATTCCTCCCGGTCAGAGGAATTCTGCCATTACTGGAGGCGCCTCCCCCGGAAGTCCCAGTACTCAGGCTATTTTTAAACATAATAGCTTAATGTACGAACCCTGACTCAACCTCCCTTGTCCTCGCCGCCCCCAATTGCTTATCTAGCAATAGGGGAGTGGACTGCATGGAGTACAAAGAATAAGGAGAATCAGGGCGATTCATTGGTCTCCCCCCCCAAAAGTAAAAGCATTATGTCAATCCCTCTTCCCTGTGCCAGATCAGGGTCTCCACAAAGTCACAGAGCATTCTGCCACTCTGTTTTTCTGCACTTTTGGGTCCCAAATAGCCTTTTGTTTTCATATGTCTCCATGTTTATTTCGGTCCGTGCCTTTTGCATGGGTTTTTCAAGGAGTGATGCTGTCAAAAATGTTGCACATGGAGTACCAAAGAGCTTCTGGGCTGCTGCTGTTGGTGTTGTTAAGCACAACAGGTGAAGGTACCATACTTTTCCATGTATAAGACGAGGTTATTTTTTTTTTTACTGTAAAATAATGTTCAAAATTCGGGCGCGTCTTATACATGGATAGTGCATGGGGGGGGTGATGGGTTGCAGCCCCAAGCAGGAGCTTGTCAGTGGTGATTTGGTGGTTGATTGGTGGTTGCTACGAGGGCTGCTTTGGATTGGCTGCTGCTGCCTTAATTGTGTGGGTGATTGGTTGATGCGGAAAGGGCTGCTTTGGATTGGCTGTAGCTGCGGCAGATGGGCTTGCGATTGCGGGCTGCTGTTGGTGAGCAGGCACACGTTTGTTGAATTTGGCAGTGCGAGCGAGTGAATGAGTTTTCAACAACTCTGGGCCATCTCCCCCCATTTTCTTAAATTTGAGTCCTCCAAAATAGGGGTCGTCTTATACCGGGGGGGGGGGTGTTATACACGGAAAGATATGGTATTTTAAAAAGTTGAAAGCTTGGTTAAAGTTTTTTTAAAAAAATAAATAAATCCTAATTGTTCAAGCAAAAATCGGACACCTGGAGCTCTTTAGAACCCTGCAGGTGGTGTTCTAAACAAGACATGTTAAGCCTGAACACCCCTAGAATCCCCTTTCAGACGTCCCCTCTTGATGCGAGGATGTCTGAAATGAAGCCATCAAGTGTGTGGACATTGGAGGGAAGGCTTGCTAATTCACCCCTTCTTCTCCCTACGTGAAGGAGCGTCTCCACCCCCATCGTTCTGCCCGTACACTGAGGTCCAGCGCCGAGAGCCTTCTGGCGGTTCCCTCATTGCGAGAAGCAAAGCTACAGGGAACCAGGCAGAGGGCCTTCTCGGTAGTGGCACCCGCCCTGTGGAACACCCTCCCATCAGATGTCAAAGCGATCAACAACTACCTGACATTCAGAAGAAATCTTAAGGCAGCCCTGTTCAGGGAAGTTTTTAATGTGTGATTTTAGTGTATTTTTGGTTTCTGTGGAAGCCGCCCAGAGTGGCTGGGGAAACCCAGCCAGATGGGCGGGGTACAAATAATAAATTATTATTATAAATTATTATTATACGTTCAGGGCGCACACTTTTAGGTGACGACTGAATCAGACTAGTTCAGGGTCCCTTCGCCTAACTCAGTCAATGTACTGGTCAGCTCTCACTGGAGACAAAACAAAAACAGTTCACATGAACCCACCTCCACATTGACTTTCTGCAAAGACCCTTCTCAACTACCCAGGACAAATGCGTGTGGGTCAAAAGTGGGGCTGGGCAGAAATGCTGCTCCAAATGGTTTGTATGAAAGGCGCTGACAACACAGATCCAAAAGTTAATGGAAGAATTTAAAATATGCTGCTCCAACTCAACTTGCTAATCTACATTTAACTAATCCTCCCACTTTATAATGTGACTAAAAATGGCATTCTCTCCCTCACTTGTCGCAAAGGTTTAACAGGAGAGCCACTGAAATGAGAAATAATAATAATGCTCAGCTTCATTATTTTTTCAAAACCTATGTGCTGTGCATTGACAAGTGCAAAGGGTTATAAATAATTGAAGCGGAATCTGCATTGTTAAGCTAAATGTCACCCTACACGTTTGCTCACTTCCTTACTAATTCATCAAATTTGAGAAATTCGCATGGGGGTCTTTAATAAGACTTGGATTGACAAAGTCCTATTGAAATAATATTTTACCGAGCCAAGAGGGGGAAAGGAGTGTGGCGAAAGAACCAGAGTGGATTATTTTTTCATCTAAAGCAAATCCTAGTTTTGCTATTCTCTAGAGTAATCTTTCTGTGAGCACCATCATGTGACTTTTAGGCCAAACACTGAATGGGCGTACGTAAGTCACAGGAAGGCCACTGTATCATGACATGGAGGAGTAATTAAAAAGAAACAAATAAATGCATTAATTGATTTTTGGACTATTGAGGAGATAAAAGGAATAGGCAGTGTCTGTACTGTTGGGCCTACTCTGATACCATACCCTCCAACATTTCTCTGGTGAAAATAGGGACATCCCTTTCCATAATGATAATTTTACTATTTACACCCCACACATCTGACTGGGTTGCCCCAGCCACTCTGGGCAGCTTCCAACATATAAAAATAATAATAAAACATTAAACATTAAAAAGCTTCCTTATACAGGGCTGCCTTCAAATGGCTTGGGTGTTGGATAATTCAATTACCCTCCAACATTTCTCCAATAAAAATAGGGACATCCTAAGGAAAAGAGGGACATTCTGGGATTAAATCAGAAACCGGGACAGCTTCTCTAAATCAGGAACTGTGCCTGGAAAATAGGGACACTTGGAGGGTCTGAGATTCTAATCTGAGGATTGGAGTGATCTCTTCCACTCCAATTGTCAGATTGTAAATTAAAACAGTATCACCTAAAAATAAGTGTTTCATATTGGCCATGTATAGGCTCAGATAGTATCATATCAATGTGTGTGTGTGTTTTTGTGTGTGGAATATAATGTGCTTCCTGAACTATTCCCTCAAGAGGAATGTTGCTCTTTCGCCAATGCAATAACCTCTATATGATAAATACACAAAGTAACTCTCTTTCCTTAAAAGTCAGGCTGTGTGAAAATATTTTTGCTACCCTTTGGTTAATACTTAGCGAACAACCTTAGGCCCAGTAAAGTTATATGGAGCCAGATCTGGCAATGGCCAGCAGTACATTAAATTTACAACAAGGATTTAAGATGCTGGTCCAATATAAGAAACGTGGACTTTACCATCTCCACCTAGAATAAATTATAGAATTTCTGACAACACAGAACCTTAAAAATGGATCTTTCTAGGAAGAAGCTCTCACATCTTCCTCTTCTTGAAGGCATGCTTTCTGGGACCAAATAATCACATACCCCTTATTACTTTGCTTTCCTCTGTTCTGTGTGATTGATCCCTGACCACCCTTGAACATATTTCACTTCCTGATCCTGCCTGGAGCCTCTGTGCAAAAAGCACACCCAGAGCTTCAGTTCTTGACCAGCTGTACTGGACTACAATTCCCATCATCCCTGGCCATTGGACATGCTGGCCGAGAACGATTTGCATTGGAGTGCAACAACATCAGAAGGTCCATAGTGTCAGCACCGCCCTTGAGCCAGTGTCACCAACTGGACTCATCCACTCAGACCCGACTGAGCTAGGTGAGCTGGGTAGCACTTCCAGAGACCATCTTCTGCACAGGAACAGGTCAAAGTGCTGTGGACTCACAGCTTAGAGTTGTGAGAACCGGATTCACTTCCACAAGAAGTCGTCGCACAGCAGAGTATAGCAGAGTATAGCAGAGCATAAACGACTCGGAGAGCAGCTCTGTAGAATATCTTCTTTATTCTATCTACAACTATAATACACAACTATATACAGAGCTAAATGAGGTCTAAACGAAAATGCTGAACTGCACTGAGTGTCTGCAGCTGCTCTTAGCAGCAACCTTATCTATACACACGATCTCTCTCTAACACTCAGTCTCTCTCTCTCTCCGACACTTTGATGTGAGGCTGGAGCGGAATAAGTAGAGAGCAGAAACCGCCCCTCCTCTCTGGAGAATCAGCAGAGAACATCAGCAGATTCTTGGATATGGGAGGGGTGAAATCTCCTCACATAGGTTTTCCACTTTTGTTCTAGTGTAGGTGCATGCATTTTTAACTCTAACATGCATGAAGGCATACCTCTGAGTAAACTGTATGGGATTTCTAATGCTGCGAGTCTTTCCTCCTTTATTTGTTTTAAAACAAACAAACAAACAAACAAACAAAAAATTTAGTATTAAGTTGTTGTTGTTTAGTCGTTTAGTCGTGTCCGACTCTTCGTGACCCCATGGACCACAGCACGCCAGGCACTCCTGTCTTCCACTGCCTCTCGCAGTTTGGTCAGACTCATGTAGCATAGTATTAAGTAGCATCATCCAATCCAGAAGCAGACTTTAAAGCTGTAATGCCTGCCATGCTATTAAACTGCCCCTTACGTAGCGCAAAAGAAAACTGAATGTTCCCCATTTCTTTCAGCCCAAGGTGACCAACATACATCAGCTACTTTGATGCGAAAAGGAAGGCTGTAATATGTGTGCAGAGAATTTATGAGCTCAAAGGACTGTAAATTATCACAATCCTAGTGGGTTTCAGGCCCGTATTGCCCAATGTACAAAAAGGAAGAAGGTAAAATATAATGGGTCCCCATATTTTAAACCTGTATACAACTAACACCTCACATAGCAAAAACTTTAATGTCATTTCCTATCTCAGTCAACAATCCTATACAACATTCTTTCCAAAACTTTCTGGGCACCTGTTACAGTTTTCAACTTGTATCTGAATTTCTTAAGGCCTTTGTGCTTTTGCGGGTTGCTAAGTCATTACAAAATAGCAAAATTAACGGTATTGTAAAGGGATATGCAGGGTACACCAAAGAGAAATAGCAACAACAGCCAGGAAGAATATGATTTTTTTAAAGACTCAAATTCTGCACAGTCCTATGCATGCCTACTCAAAGATGAATCCCGCTGAGTTCAGTGGGACTTATTTCCTGTTGTGTCTGTAGGAACACAGCTTTTTAATCCTGAGAATGTTGCAAATAACACATCCCTTCCCTTTTCTGCATGCCTTTACTGATAGTTCTTCTTTCCTTCCAACAGCTAACTCAGACTGCAAGCGCCAACAGGCATGTAGTCAAAACAAGGCCGCTGAGAAATAAGAGTGAGGGGTCAGCATAGCTGCAGGAGGAGAAGGTTTCCAAAGTTTGCAGGGGTAACAAAAAATATTAAAGGGAAAAAAATCCTAAGGGGACAGCAAAATAAAACAAAAACAAAAACACCCTCTCCTGAAGTGGGCAGTATGTTCATTAATTACAATCTGAAAACATATGTTGGAGGGACAATAGAATGGGATATTCTGAAAAAGAGTGTGGTTGGTTGGTTGGTTGGTTGGCTGGCTGGAATACTAAACCAGAGTCTCCCATACTGCACCATTCCTAAAATAAAAAAACTCCTGTGCTTTAGCCTAGTAGTTATTTCCCCAAGCCACACAACAACCCATAAGTTAACTGCTGTTTTTCAGAGAGAAGCTAAGAGGAAAAGCAAGCCGATTTCGCGTCGCAAGCGCAAGTCCCATCTGAAACATGCTTCAGTACGTTTCAAGCTTCATAACATAATGCTGCCTCAGACATACGAGCAAAACACTCTATTAACAGTTTTGCGAAATGGAGTGCTGAGCTAGGCTGCGATCTACACTTACTCATTTACTTGTATTTCTAAACATTTCAAATTCAAGTGCTCAGGTCCAGACCTTTCTGGTCTCTGAGACAGCAAAAAGTTCTGAAGCATGAAATGACTTGGTTGCAAGGCTGCAATTTTTGCTGAAATGTCATTTATTCTTACATGGTACAAGAACCTACAAGCTATTGATTTATTTGGTGTCCTCTTTAAGAAAATTTTAGCTTGAGCGGCATGTTTAATGGGTTCATATTTTGTTTCGCATTTCGGCTGCCCCATATTTCTTCAGCCGCACGGCAGCTCACGGGGACTGCAGAGCTCTGGCAAACAGAATCATTTCAACAGTTACTGTCAGGATGTGTGTATTCCCTACTCCCCCCCACCCAATAAAACTTGCTCATCTTAGCAAAATGACTTCTGCTTCCTTAAACCATCTTTAGCCATTTCCCCCAAGTAGGAGCCTCTAAATTCTTCCTGCAAATTGTTTTCTTTGAAAGACAAAATTCAGTAGTGAATCCATCCATGTCCCCTACTACAGGCTTCCTCACCCTCGGCCCTCCGGATGTTTTTGGCCTACAACTCCCATGACCCCTAGCTAGCAGGACCAGTGGCCAGGGATGCTGGGAATTGTAGTCTCAAAACATCTGGAGGGCCGAGGTTGAGAAAGCCTGCCCTACTGCATAGCTCAGAGGTGGGGGAGAATCCTTTTTAGCCCAATGGTGATCACATTGCCTCCTGGCAACTTTCCGAGGGGCATATGCCAGTGGTAAAGGTAAAGGTACCCCTGACCATTAGTTCCAGTCACGGACGACTCTGGGGTTGCGGCGCTCATCTCTCTCTATAGGTCGAGGGAGCTGGTGTTTGTCAGCAGACAGCTTCCGAATCATGTGGCCAGCATGACTAAGCCACTTCTAGTGAACCAGAGCAGCGCAAGGAAATGACCTATTTATTTACTTGCACTTGACGTGTTTTTGAACTGGTAGGTGGGCTGGAGCTGGGACCGAGCAGTGGGAGCTCACCCTGTCGCAGGGATTCGAACCGCCAACCTTCTGATTGGCAAGCCCTAGGCTCTGTGGTTTAGACCACAGCGCCACCCGTGTCCCATATGCCAGTGGTAGCCAAATCCAAATCCTAAGGTGGGCAAAAACCCGAATTTTATATTTGTACAGTAGGCTATATTCTACACACCATCTAGGCCAGTTTTTGCCCCAAACTTTGGTCTGCAGCTGTTTTGAACTGCAGTTCCCATAATACCTATCTTGCTAGCTAGGGATGATGGGCATTATAGTCCAAAACAAGAAGAGACCCAAGTTTGGGAAACACTGGCCCATATGGTATGTAGAAATGAATACAAAATTCATTTTTCTGCTCACCTTTGGATTTGACTACCACTGCTTAGCTTCAGCAGGCCTTGAGTGCCTTCAGATAATACGCTGGGGCTGACATGTTGGTGATTTGGCAGCCTCTGTGTTTCAACTACCACATTGCAATGCCCTCTGATAAGGGTGGTGGTACCCTCCTTCTCCACCCACTCCTTGATCATCACTCAACAATGAAATTATTATTATTATTTATTACTTATACCCTGCCCATCTGGCCAGGCCTCGCCAGCCACTCTGGGTGGCTCCCAACAGAATATTAAAAACACAATAAGACACCAAACATTAAAAAATTCCCTAAACAGGGCTGCCTTCAGATGTCTTCTAAAAGTCAGATAGTTGTTTATTTCCTTGACATCTGATGGGAGGGCGTTCCCCAGGGCAGGTACCACTACCGAGAAGGCCCTCTGCCTGGTTCCCTGTAGCCTCACTTCTTGCAGTGAAGGAACCACCAGAAGGCCCTCAGAGCTGGACCTCAGTGTCCAGGCTGAATGATAGGGGTGGAGATGCTCCTTCAGGTATACTTTCAAAACGTAAGTCTCTTTAATTCCAACAAATCACTTTTCAAGATGCCACTGACTTTACCAGCTACATGCATCAACTTATTGAATAAAGTGCTTTCAGAGTTATGTTTTTTTTTCTGGAGGCAAAGTGATGCAAGGCATTCAGGGATGTAAAGCAGCAAAGGCCTAATCAATAGGACACTTTTGTTGCTGACAACCATTGTGAAAAAATGATCGGTGCTAGTTCTCTTTTACCAGAGAAAGCAAATAACCTGAGTGGCATGCTTCCTCAATGCATTCCAAGTATTTATGGGTTACTTAGAAAGAGAGAGAGAATCCATAAACAAGGCCAGAACAAAAAAATAAAATAAAATGCAATTTTATTGATATCCATCTGATTTATGTTTACAGCATCTGCTGATAATAACCCCATTTGTCAGAGAAACCATCATGAATACTAAGTTGGAGTTACTGAGTCAAAACCCAAACAACTGTGTTTTCACACCCTGCATTTTCATAGAGAGACCTTCTTGGAAGAAGAAATTTCACCATGGCACTTTAGCCCATAAGTTTTGGTATATATTTTCCTGTGTGCATGGAAGTTTGTCTAGTGTCAAGGCAGCTTCACGTAGACCTTTCTCACTGTTTGCTTACTAAGATCTAAGCTTAAAAGAAATACTTTTGTTTTTTGCCAGGAAGATCAATGACACTAGTTCTTTCTGAAAATACAAAGTGGGACGAAGTTTATTCATAAGCTCAGGAAAAAGTAGCTCTAAATCAAGTCTTGAAGTCAGGGCTGTCTTAAGCATATGCAGTGCCGGGGTGCAAAGATCCGCCTGGCACCCCCCTCCCAGGTTGCCCAGTCCTGGGTACGCAGGAGGGTGGAGCTGGCCAGCTGGCCTAGATTCTTGCTGGCTCGGTTGCCCCCAAACTCATGGCGCAGAGCTGCCCGCAGCAGAAGAGCCCACCGTGGCGCTCTGACCAATGGGCAGGCTCTTCCTCAGATTCAAATCTCGGGCCCCGGACTCTCAGCCTGGCACTCCTGAGAGCCCGGCACCCGGGTGCCTCACACCCCTAGCACCTATGGGTAAGACGGCCCTGCTTGAAGTTACAGAGATGTTGGCAAATCCAACCACCTATGTGGTCATATTTAGTTCTCCATTTACTGTGCAAGCCAAATCCTGGATCTACTGTGCTATTGGTCATAGGTTATGATGCGCCTGCCTCTGCACCTTGAAGCCCGTGATGGCTAAAATACACTCTGCTAGCACAAAACACATTCAACAGGCATAAGCCTATCCATGTGCACAGGGCTGCCATCAGATGGGCAGAAGGGGTAGGGTTTAGAGGAGGTCTAAGGCTAGCAGCTGTCTAAAACCACAGGGCCTGGGGCTTGCCGATCAGAAGGTCTGCAGTTCGAATCCCCATGACAGGGTGAGCTACCATTGTTCGGTCCCAGCTCCCAGCCTAGCAGTTCGAAAGCATGTCAAAGTGCAAGTAGATAAATAGGTACTGCTCCAGCAGGAAGGTAAATGGCATTTCCGTGTGCTGCTCTGGTTTTGGCAGAAGCGGCTTAGTCATGGTGGCCACATGACCCGGAAAAACTGTCTGCGGACAAATGCCAGCTCCCTTGGCCAGTACAGCGAGATGAGTGCCGCAACCCCAGAGTCGTTCGTGACTGGACTTAACTGTCAGGGGTTCTTCACCTTTACCTAAGGCTAGCAGGGGGCACACTCTCTTAGTTTCACTAAGAGTAATTCAGACATTTTTGAAGGAAGAGCACAAAACACAGACATAGCCCAAATGCCCTTTCTCCACGTCCAGATTATGTCATTCCCAAGTGTGATGCCTTTACAGAATAAAACACAATTGGCTGTTATTTGTATGTTTTACTTGGAAGTAATGCCCTTGAAATAAATGAGGGTTCTTTTCTGTCCTACTGAGAAAAGATTGTGATATTGCATCCCCAGCACCCCCTTTCTGGTTTCCCTTGTCCTCCATGGTCTTTGACACCAGAATGTGTGTTTTTGAGGTCTCACCCTATTCCTGTAACTGTGACTGTTCTCAACACTGACTTTTAATTTTCCCCCAGTCCAAGGTACAAGAATAAGGATGTACAAATTAGGACCTTTTCTTTTCTGAACAATTCCACATATTCTATGATCCACTACTGAGCCAAGTCCTAAATTGAAACATCAACATTCCATATAGGACTGCTAGAAAACCTCTCCCCTCCCCGAAGAACTTGGATACAAACGAGTCAATTTTCAGGAACTGCTAGCATCTGTATGTTCCAACTGATCTCATCAAGAATTTCTAATTCTCAGAGGTTATGAAAATCACGCATCTTCAATTAAATTGACGAGGTAAACATTTCAGAGTGACACAGAGCACATTCTCTGAGTGAACTCCTTGTTGTTATGGTGCTTCGACTGAGAGAAATGGAATAAGTGTGCAATATGCCTTTCTTCCTACCAAATGGTACAATGCCTCCCCCCTACCCAACAACAAAAATGCACAAAACTCAGTTTTGGAATCTAGCTAGAAGAATGTTTGTTTTATAACGTTAGGATATCAAGAGGCATTTTATTTCATTTCTGCATTTTGATACAATCCATACTTGTTGTTTCAGGGCAATATGTCTCGGAGGCTCCAAAAATGCCCAACAGAAAGAAAGACAGCCACCTGGCTGATCTGAATTTTCCTTTTGAATCAGGTTCTACAATGTTGGAGTAATATTCAACTTCTGTCCATTTCCCCAAGCAGAAAGAAAGGACTACAATCTGTGCAAAGTGGGACTTAATTAAAGAGAAGAGCAAAACCACAAAGCCACCACTACTGCCCCTGTCAATTGAAGTTTTGAAAATGGGAGTTTTGGAGTGCCATGTTGCACTTGATCTTTTGCCAGCAGTGCAGCTTGCAGAGATGGTACAAGAGCAGGACCTTCATGCTGCCCTATTTCAGGCCTAGGTAAAGGTAAAGGGACCCCTGACCATTAGGTCCAGTCGTGGCCGACTCTGGGGTTGCGGCGCTCATCTCGCTTTATTGGCCGAGGGAGCCGGCGTACAGCTTCTGGGTCATGTGGCCAGCATGACTAAGCCGCTTCTGGCGAACCAGAGCAGCACATGGAAATGCTGTTTACCTTCCCACCAGAGCGGTACCTATTTGTCTACTTGCACTTTGACACGCTTTCGAATTGTTAGGTTGGCAGGAGCAGGGACTGAGCAACGGGAGCTCACCCCATCACGGGTGACCACCGACCTTCTGATCGGCAAGTCCTAGGCTCTGTGGTTTAACCCACAGCGCCATCCGTGTCCCTACTTTCAGACCTACTGTGGTTTAAAAAGAGTCTGGACTACAAGTAATCATGAACTCAGAAATGGTCATTCTGGAGACCCCACGGGCACACTGGAGTAATGGAAGTGTGTGGAAAGCATTTGTGCAAGAAGCTCTGGACATAATCCAAGAGTGCATAAACCATTTCTCCCAGTTTGGTCTGCTTCCTGAACTCGGCAGTATCTCAAAACTTTTCCAGCCCAGAATATATTTGGGAGAAGGTGAGAAATGGAGTTTGCAGTGTTTTCGTCCTCTCTATGCCGTCTCAGAGGTTGGGCTACCTCAGACCTCCAGGGCTGACATGAATTTTCCATTATGAGCATCTTGCAGACAGTTTTGCAACATTTACTTCGATGGCCATTTTCTATTGATGTGCCAGAATACCTCCTCAGATAAAAGTTCTCATACCCAAGGCTCCCTAGAAGAAATGGCAAGCCTATTTTACAGTCGCATACTCAAACTTTAGACCTTTCCCTACCCAGCTGTAAATGCCGGGCACGTTTTCCATCCTGTTCTTCTAGCATTTTGTTTTCTATTTTGGCACATTGACATATTCCATTTTGTCATGGGCTTCTGCTCATAATTTCTTATTAAAAGCAGTGCAAAAATGAATACATATTTGAAAATACCAAGTGCCTAGTTAATGCCCTGCAAAATTTCCACTTGCAACTCTGCATCACCAGCTGGACTTCTGAAGCAGGGCCAGGGGCTGAGTCAAGGGTTGGCATTATTGGTCGGCATCCAAGACCCATTCCTCTACGTGTGTGTGTGTGTGTGTGTGTGTGTGTCCATTGGCAATCCCTGAACCCTGCAGGCCTGATGTTCATTTTCCTTCTTATTGCTGCTTCTTTGCCTGCCCTCCTAAGTGAATGAGAAAGTGCAAGAGAAAGAAAAAGGCAGAGCTGTTGCTACTTCTGCTCATCTCTCTCCCTGGACAGTGAGTCTCACTGGGCCCAGAGGGAGAAGAAAGGCTATTGAGCAGTGGTGGAAGCAGCAGGGAGATGATAGAGCCACTGACAAAGACCTCCCAAAACCTGGTGTTGGTCTAATCTTTCTTTGGATGGGGGGTGGGAAATGAACATAGCTGGAGAGGGGACCCCCCATTCTGAACTATCATGGATAGGGATAGCATGAGGATACAGAAATCAGTGAGAAACGCTACCCACTGCCAGGAGGTCCTACATACGAGTAGGGATCTGGCAGAGACACATGCCCGACTGGCATATTCTCTCCCTCCTGGTTGGTCGGGAGATTCAAAAGCTTTCTCCAGCCCGAACATCACAGTGACTGATACCAAGAGGCATCAGCACACTTCAGAATCAGCAGAGTATAGGCAGTCAGCGTACAGTCTCAGTAGTGCAGCTTTTTGGCTAAACTACGTTTATTTACATATACACACGTGGAGCATCGTAACTCAGCTCCTTCCTCTTCAGCATCAGACAGCAAAGAGAGAAAGAACAAAAGGACAAATGTCCTATATCATGGAAACAGAGTAATAAAAACATCCTGTCTCCATCACTTCCTACAATGCAGAATGAAAACATACACCGTCATGTGATAAAAACAATCCCATGACCGCAACACGGGGAACGAATCCTAACACCCACATCCTTAAAGCTACAACAATTCACTTTCCATTTCTCTCTAATTCCAGATTGAGCTGATCCAGGATCCATTGGATCTCAAGCTCATCTCACTGCCATAGTGCAACAGCATCAGGCCTGATCTGAGCCTGGTCACCCTGCCCTCCTCCTTTCACTGGGGCTGGCATAAGTTGCAGATGTGGTGGTTTCCCTTCTCCTCTGCAAATCCCTGCTGGTGGTGGGTGGAAGTTACGATTGCGATATGTGTAACTCTCTCCTCGCCGCTCTAACTCCAACTTTCTAAGACTCGAAGTCTTTAAAACATGCTTGCTCTCATGCTTACTGGCTTGCTTTCTAATTTGCTCCCCCTCTTTTGTCTCAGTCTGCTCACATGAATGGCCTCTGGTAGTCTAGAGAATATGTCACAAGACAGAATACGTCACAGTTACTTTTGCAATTGTGATCAACAAAGCATTGGTTCTCTTAATAATGGTGTAGTTTATTGGCTTTTCAGCCATTAAGTATGACTTCCCAATGCCCCTCCTTTTTTTCCACAGGTGTCTACAATATTCAGGTGGTCTTGCTGTCCAAGCCCAAAACCATAGTCACCCCAATCCCCTCCCTTCCATCCAAGGAAGTTCTTCCCCAGTAGATTGTGGAAAAAGTAGTGGGGTGCCTTTGGTCTAAACCAGCAGGGCTCTTCTTATAAGGCCACACCTGTGGGTGAGTCTGCCATTATAATGGAAAATCAGCAGGGAGGGCAGGAGGCAGGGGGGAGAAAGTGGATTCTGTGGCTTATGAATAAAGGAAAATGATTCAATGGACTGATTTGAAAGTTGACAGGGTAGGAGAGACAAGTCTGAGGATAGCCCATTCCAAATTAGGGGTGGAAGGATAAGAAACGACTTACTTTGAAAGCAGTGAACAGGCTGATAATAATTTGTTTGCCAACTGGTAGCTTCCTTTAGTGGGCATGCTGCTACATGAAGAAATGGTTGTCTGTCTCTTTAGCATCTCATCTGGTCATCTCATCAGGAGTGCATTTTGACCCAACATTTACACAAAACCAGAAATCCAAGGAACCAGGGGACTGTTTAATAAAAAACCAAACAAAAAAAACACACTTGCCATTTGGGAAAATGCTACAGTTTACCACCTACATCACAGGAACTGTGGCTAGTCATTACCAAGTGATCAGTTTGTGTTCACCTCTTGTCATGATTTTGTTTTTGCATGCCTTTTAAACAAGGCTCTTGACTTGTAATGTTAGATGGTTAGATTTCTGGGTTGCATGGGGCATCATCTCCACTGAATAGAGGTAAAGTAAAGGGTAAAGGGACCCCTGACCATTAGGTCCAATCGTGGCCGACTCTGGGGTTGCGGCGCTCATCTCGCTTTATTGGCCGAGGGAGCCGGCGTACAGCTTCCGGGTCATGTGGCCAGCATGACTAAGCCACTTCTGGCGAACCAGACCAGTGCACGGAAACGCCGTTTACCTTCCCGCCAGAGTGGTAGCTATTTATCTACTTGCACTTTGACGTGCTTTTGAACTGCTAGGTTGGCAGGAGCAGGGACCGAGCAATGGGAGCTCACCCCATCGCGGGGATTCGAACTGCCAACCTTCTGATCGGCAAGTCCTAGGCTCTGTGGTTTAACCCACAGTGCCACCCACATCCCTGAATAGAGGTAGGAAGCAGAACAACAAGAACCTCTTAACTTTAGATGCAGTATAAACCAAAAGAGCCAAGGATTAGCAGTAAGCACTTGTTTTACCTGACGGTAAGAATGATGATTGTCGATGCTACATTAAACAAGTTGTGTTGCTATTTCCCCGAGTTTCTGCTCAGTATGGACAACCAGAAAAGCTGCATCAGCAAAACTAACTCTAGAGTAAGCTGTTCAGTCTGAGTTTATTTTTTTTCTCCTTTTTTTTTTACCTTCAGGCATGACAGATTAAAGAGTTTATCTATAGACATGGGAAGCATATTTCTCCCTTCGTTTCTTTTTCTTTTTTTTCCTTTCTTTTGCCAGAAGAGTAGCTTTAAGAATAGAATAGAATTGCCGGGGGTGGGGAGAGAGAGAGAGGGACAGTGAAATTGAAAAAGGCGTGTGCATTCACATAATAACCTTTGGCTGGTTGTTTGTTGCTGCAGCAAACAGAACTCAGCAAACCACCAATTGCACGTTGATATTTCCTGCACCATTTGCAAAGAGCAAGAGATAGAAAACCACACTGAAAATAAAGTTATATTCTTTCTCTTTTCATCATAGGAATGGGAAGATAATGATATGAAGAGTTAATGTGGCTGATACAAACAGAAGCACAGCACACCCGTCTCCCTCTCCTCCTTCCCTGACACAAGTCAAAGAATCCCTTTACTTATTCTGTGCAACCCATGATACCTTTCCTGGGATGCTGCAACTAAAACAGCTGACATTTGGGTGAGTGTGTGCATACATTTAAAATAGTAGATCTGCGTGCTGAAGACCATATTCCTTATCTCCAGCAAATGTCAATGGAATTAATAGCGTGTTGTTTGTTTATTTATTTTTTAATGTGAGATTTAGCAGGTTAGTGCATGGGAAATAGATTTGAAGAAGTTTTTTGTGTGTGTGGTGTGTGTTTTCATATCATGACTGCATCACTGGATGTTTATTGTTTGGTTAGTACCTTCCCATCTGGTGCAACACCAGTAATTTGGGAAAGACCTATGCAGTGATATTTTTCCAGAAAAAGAGGTGCCAGAACACCTCCCTCGTTCCCTCAGAGCCCACCTGAGAGGTGCCGGAACTGAGTTCCAGCGAGTTCCGGCTGAAAAAAAGGCCCTGGACCTCTGTGACTGGACTCTGCTTATGCTGATGCTATATTCACTGATTTGTCAAAGCTAACGTCATGGGGAAACAGTGCCCTTAGTCCTTATAATGTGTGTGAGAACTACTTGAAGCAAAGAGACCACATCTGCAGCCCAAACCATGTCGACTCAGAAGTGCTTTTTCCTACAAAAGTGGAGTTACGACTAAAGCCTATGATGCTATGATTCCATGAGGATTTTCAGGTGATATTATTATTATTATTATTATTATTATTATTATTATTATTATTTCTGTTAATAACCCATTCATAATATGATTATGCTATTATGCGGAAATGTTCTTCCTACTAATAGTTAACACTTTTTATTTTAGGTTTAAATCTATCAGTAAATCACCATGTGATGAAAGTTTCAGGTAGCTGGGTTATCAGTAGAATTTGGAATCATTACCTGAACATTACAGTTGTCTGAATGTTCCTGGCCTGTATGAGGAACATGGGTGCATGAAGTTGCCTTCTACTGACACAGAGGTACATCTAGATAATATTTTCATGGTCTGACTGTCCATGATGATCCAGGGTCTCAAGGCAGCATATTTTCAGCCCTATCTAAAATATTTTTTTGCTGAAGGTCTTTATACATCCAAAGCAATTTGCTTCGCACTGAACTATGGTCCTGCCACTGGCTTCCTACATTGGTTATGAACGGTTGTCTTCACTGGTGACTAGAAGTCAAAGATTACTTAAACTTATGAACAACAAAGCATTTGTAACATAGAATAATAGAATCTTAGAGTTGGACAGGCTCCAAGGGTCATCTAGTCCACCCCCTGCAGTGCAGGAATCTCAGCTAAAGCACCCATGACAAATGGCCATCCAACCTCTGCTTAAAAACCTCCAAGGAAGGAGAGTCCACCACCTCTCATGGGAGTCTGTTCCACTGCTGAACATCACTTGATGTCAGAAAGTTTTTCCAAATGTTTAGTCGTAATCTCTTTTCTTGCAACTTGAAGCCATTGGTTCGAGTCCTACCTTCCTCCAGAGCAGGAGAAAACAAGCACGCTCCCTTCTCTATGTGACAACCCTTGAGATATTTGAAGATGGCTATCCTATCTCCCTCTCACACTCCATGTTTTCTGGCTAAACAAACTCAGCTCCTTCAAGCGCTCTTCATAAGACTGTTTCCAGACTATTCATCATCTTGGTTGCCCTCCTCTGCATATGTTCCAGCTTGTCAAGATCCTTCTTAAATTGTGATGCCCAGAACTGGACACAGTATTCCAAGTGTGGTCAGACTAAGGCAGAATAGAGTGGTACTATTACTTCCCTAGACAGCATCTTAAAAAGCAGAGACATCACTTTGCCAACAAAGGTCCATATAGTTAAAGCTATGGTTTTCCCAATAGTGATGTATGGAAGTGAGAGCTGGACCATAAAGAAGGCTGATCGCCAAAGAATTGATGCTTTTGAATTATGGTGCTGGAGGAGACTCTTGAGAGTCCCGTGGACTGCAAGAAGATCAAACCGATCCATTCTGAAGGAAATCAGCCCTGAGTGCTCACTGGAAGGACAGATCCTGAAGCTGAGACGCCAATACTTTGGCCACCTCATGAGAAGAGAAGACTCCCTGGAAAAGACCCTGATGTTGGGAAAGATGGAGGGCACAAGGAGAAGGGGACGACAGAGGACAAGATGGTTGGGCAGTGTTCTCGAAGCTACCAGCATGAGTTTGACCCAACTGCAGGAGGCAGTGGAAGACAGAAGTGCCTGGTGTGCTCTGGTCCATGGGGTCATGAAGAGTCGGACACGACTAAACGACTAAACAACAACAACATTACTTCCCTTGATCTGGACAGTATACTTGCATGATCAGCTTTGGTGATCAATAGTCCCCTTCATCAGTTGCAGGATGAAGCGGACGGTAGGGTACTCTGATGTACCTGATGAAGTGGATTCTAGTCCACAGAGGTTTATGTAGTTCAAACGTAACAGACTAGAATGGCTCCCCCTTTGGGAATTCCCAGGTAAGACACACAAATTGCAGAATTGTCACCAGGACAGTTTATTAGTTTAACTCTGGCTTGTGAAGTCTGATATATGTCACGTGTTTCTAAATAGCAGTCAGCAAATTAGAAGGCTGTTGTGAAGTAACCCAATAATCCATCCAACCAGCAAAAGTAATTTAACTAAGATGGAGTGAGGGCTTACTACGGAACAATCTATCACTAATGACTGGAACAGGTGCACAAAGTGTCTTAATAAATCAGTAACCTGAAAAGCACATAAATTACTTTGAAGGTTAATGTATTTTCCTCCTTGTTTCCCAAACATCTTGGAGGTATTTTCATGAATATTTCAGACACTGCACAGAAAACCTCTGTGGAATATGCTTGAGGTGCTAGATAAAGGAAGAAATAGAAATGATGATACTTTCCTAAGTGAGGATCATTATGGACCATTGCCTTGCAGATCTTCCTAGTAGTGAAACCTACTGAACTATAAACTTTAAAGAAGACTGTTGGATTCACATTATTAACTTCGCTTAAAATCGGATTTTTCAGATCCTTTCAATTGGTAGTCTAGAAATATTTTTTAAAATGATAATCTGCTGAAGTTTAAATGAGGTTCAGCTGAGTACCTTTCTCCCACTCTGCAGTGCAGGAACCAGAATATTCTGAGATTGTCTGCATTCACATGTCTGAATGTTAACATTCCCGGGGGGGGGGTGACATTCCTTTCAACATATATATTTACCACTTTCTCAGTCCACTGCATACATCTGATCAAGTAGGCTGCTTACTGAAAAATACAACATAACTTAGTTAGTCTCTTAGGAGCTGCCTGGGCAAAAATGGACAACCTTGGGATCTGTGTAAGGATGTCCCATATGATGAGCTGCAGAACTGTACACAGGAACATCTGCTTGTGCAATATGATATTTCCAGGATCTGGCCTGGCCCCATCCATCCCAATTGTCCATTGAGAGCCAGTGTGGTGTGGTGGTTAGATTGTTACATTCTATGTTACATTATAATTAGAGTGAACATTTTTATAGGGGCTTGCTGCAGTGATGAATAATTTAAACTTATTGTATTTTTTGCTCTATAAGACTCACTTTTTACCTCCTAATAAGTAAGGGGAAATGTGTGTGTGTCTTATGGAGCGAATGCAGGCTGCGCAGCTATCCCAGAAGCCAGAACAGCAAGAGGGATTGCTGCTTTCACTGCGCAGCAATCCTTCTTGCTGTTCTGGCTTCTGAGATTCAGAATATTTCCCCCCCCTTGTTTTCCTCCTCCAAAAACTAGGTGCTTCTTGTGGTCTGGTGCATCTTATAGAGCAAAAAATACAGTATGTCTTCCATATTGAACCTACAGCAGTATTATACGCTATTTGGTAAGCCCAAAATTGTATTGAGGTTTAAATGGAAAAGTGCAGAATTGTAGGTTTTTAGCTTAATAAAAGCCTCTTTTTTGTATTTTTAAGAAGATCTAAGTTCACACACAAGCAGGAGCTCTCCAAATAGATGCCACTGAAGAAGACGGAGTCAAAACACATTTGACAAGCCATTTGGAATGCAGCTTTTGTAATCAATGTGTTTCAAGACTTTGGACACAAACAACTTTGTTCATGAGAGATAATACACCATGTGTTGCATGTAAATGTTGGAAAGCCACACAAGATTATTCAGCTATTATTGCAGGGGTCATCCAACTTTTTCAGCAGGATGCCGGTTCACTGTCCCTCAGATCTTGGGGGGGGGCAGACTATTTTTTTTGGGGGGGGGGGGTGAAAATTCCTATGCCCCACAAATAACCCAGAGATGCATTTTAAATAAAAGCACATATTCTACTCACGTAAAAACATGCTGATTCCCGGACCGTCTGCGGGCCGGATTTAGAAGGCGCTTGGGCCGGATCCAGCCCCCAGGCCTTAGTTTGCCTACCCATGTATTATTGCATATGCTATTGGCTATCAGCCATAGATTGCATTTTGGTATAGTTTTAAATTCTTGCATATATAGCTTAAAGAAACATATTATGTTCAACTAGACCTTGACTTCACTTGTTTGTCTCAAATCCCCACTCAACCATGAAACTAAGTAGGTGACCTAAAATGGAGAGGAGGTGGGGGGGGGACCATGTATGCCACCTTGAGCTCCTGAGACGACAACAACAAAAATAAGAATAAGAAGTAATGGCCTTCTGGGGAAAAAGGGCTATAAAAGCCTTCATGTTTGTGCTGGGATGTTCTTGAGTAACTGGCCTGGTCCTGGTATGTTCTCATGTGATCTTCAGCTCTGCCCTTTGGTCATCTTCCATACTTCTTGCTTGCCTGCTCGTTCTGGTTTCTGCTTGTTCTTTAACTCTGTCTCCTAACTGGTTCCTCAGCTTTGATTTCCTGGCTTGTTCCTCAGCTTTAGTTTCCTGCCTCAACTTCTTGCTCCCGGTTTATGACTCCTGGGTCAGCTTCTACAGCAGCCCACAACTCACCTCTGACAGACTGACAGGGGCAATCTCTGTATAGAGCCAGCTTTTATCATTGAAAAGAACAAAACTAATGGAGAATTTGGGTCAAATATGATGTCAGCAATCGTAAGCAGACGAGCTGCAACTGTCTGGCTTGACATATAGTATATATATAAGACTGCAAGACCAGTCTTATAAGGAGAAATTAGTCCCAATGTCTCTTTTCCATTTTTGCCTCTAGGTAGGTTCTGCCTAGGGACGCGTGTGGCGCTGTGGGTTAAACCACAGAGCCTAGGACTTGCTGATCAGAGGTCGGCAGTTCGAATCCCCGCGATGGGGTGAGCTCCCATTGCTCGGTCCCTGCTCCTGCCAACCTAGCAGTTTGAAAGCACCTCAAAGTGCAAGTAGATAAATAGGTACCACTCCGGCGGAAAGGTAAACGGTGTTTCCGTGCACTGCTCTGGTTCGCCAGAAGCGGCTTAGTCATGCTGGCCACATGACCCGGAAGCTGTACGCCGACTCCCTCGGCCAATAAAGCGAGATGAGCGCCTCAACCCCAGAGTCGGTCACGACTGGACGTAATGGTCAGGGGTCCCTTTACCTTTACCTAGGTTCTGCCTTATTTAGTTTTAAAAATATAAATATATTTTGCCTAGTAAACTTTTCATCTTATCAGAGGTAGGCATACTTTGGCATTTTGTCTTCCCCAAATATGATGATATGTTTAATATTTCTTGAGGGTGCACAAAGTATCCAATGTTAGAAAATATTGAAACAGAGAAAGTCAATTTCCACCCTGCTTTTCACCACTTCTCGAAGTGATATTGTTCGATTATCAATTATTAAGGGACCAAGCTTTAAGAAATTGCACATATACTATATTTGCCAATATATTCCTGAGAGGGATTTGCTTATAACAGAAGACAAAAACGAGGGCTCAATTTGTGTTTAAACTTATATTACACCAATAAAATACTTATAACAGAGGATACATTACAATTTTCAATATCTATTCTCTTATTGTCAAACCGCAGAAAGCTTAATAATGGATGAGCAAATTTCTCTTGTTCAGCAGAAAAAAACTTTCCTACTTTTCTAAAGTAAACCAATTTGTTATAGCTGATAACCTTATTGCCTAATACTACATGAAAATACAAGTGGAAGAAGTAGGTAAACCCTCTTCGTCATCTAACTTGTGTTTGAATAGGGAGTTTGCCAATATTCTCAAGGAGTTTACCCTGCCAAATGAACTTCAAAATTTTCTTAAAAGACTCCAGCTCTCTTTGAAGTTATTTGAGTCAGGCCCTAAATTAGTGGGAGGATAAAAGTAAACAATAGGCTCTAAACATAATGAAGCTGTCAATAAAACAATCAGACTAGCCATCCGCAAGAAAAAATAGACATTAAAAGAACATTAAGGTTGTGGTGAAAAAACAATAGATGTGAAAAAAAATTAGTTAAGGGTGACACTTACCATATGTTTTTGCAATGTATTGTCATGCTGAAGTAAATTTTAAAGGTAGTTAAGGAGAAACCCTGTTGTGCCTAGGTGCAAAGTACCATATGTTAATTCTTCTTTTACATCACAATGGGGGTGCCATCTTGTCCTTTGCCTCAGACATGCTGGCCCTGACTGCACCATAGATTTGTATAATGGCTTTATTAAACCTTTTGGGTTTTATCTGCCCCTATTAAACAGCCCACATTGATTTTGTTAGGCTCCAACACTCTTCCTAAATTTTGAGGGCATGTTAAAAAAAGAAAAGAAGTGAGCGCTTTAAAAGCAAGCTGGTTAAAGATCAGTTTGTTTTTTCATTCAACTTGTTGCTCCATCTCTCACTGCCTATGGATATTGTTTGTCTATGTTTAAAATCAAATGGCACAAAGCATGGCTCCATGGAGCCCTCAGGCATAGGAGACATCTCTTAGGGGCCGAGGGGTCTTCGCCCCCCACAGAAAATATTTTAGGGGGCTTCCCCCCAAGGTTGATGGGCATTGCCATTCAAATGGTGTGCGTGCACCGTGTCATATGATTGATTATGTGGGGTGGGGCTTACTTGCCCCCCATATTTTATTCAAGTTAGCACCCCTGCCCTCAGGGTAGCTACGAACTAAATGAAGCAACAGCAAAACCATATAAAAGCAATGAGGGAGTGGACTACAGGTCATGTTTTCCATGTAGAAGGTCCAAGGTACAAACACTGACATTACTGTTACTGATGGCTCCAGGACAATTGCAGCAGATAGATGAAATCAATCTTACTTTGAATTGCTCACCAAGGCCCCCACAGGCTGGAGATAGCAGTCTACAGGGCATTGATCTTAGAGATGAAATTTTTGTGGCCTTGAGAGGCCAGGTAAAAAAAAGGACATTTGAACAAGACCATAGGTGCCAACTTAAAAGTAGAGACATCAGCTTGCCAACAAAGGTCCATATAGTAAAAGCTATGGTTTTCCCAGTAGTGATGTATGGAAGTGAGAGCTGGACCATAAAGAAGGCTGATCGCCGAAGAATTGATGCTTTTCAATTATGGTGCTGGAGGAGACTCTTGAGAGTCCCATGGATTGCAAGAAGATCAAACCTATCCATTCTTAAGGAAATCAGCCCTAAGTGCTCACGGGAAGGACAGATCGTGAAGCTGAGGCTCCAATATTTTGGCCACCTCATGAGAAGAGAAGACTCCCTGGAAAAGACCCTGATGTTGAGAAAGATGGAGGGCGCAAGGAGAAGGGGACGACAGAGGACGAGATGGTTGGATAGTGTTCTCGAAGCTACCAGCATGAGTTTGACTAAACTGCGGGAGGCAGTGGAAGACAGGAGTGCCTGGCGTGCTCTGGTCCATGGGGTCACAAAGAGTCGGACATGACTAAACGACTAAACAACAACATAGGTGCCAACTCTCTGGGTCCCTGGGTACCCAAGCACCCACAAAATTCCTCATGAAGGGGCACTCACAAATTTTCTCTCAAAATATGCATTTGTAAATGTATTTTCACCCCAAATACACATTTTAGAATGCAATTTGTTACAGTCAAGAAATGTGCTGGAATATCTGACTTCCCAGTTCTGATCGTCATATTAGTCCTGAAGACAAGGATCATGTTAGCTCCTATCAGAATCCCCACAGATCAAATTCCTCAAACATCCTGTGTAAGAAGTCCTTCCTAGCAATACATCTAAAACTTTTGCATCCAAGGTGACTCCTGTTGAGACAAGTTATCATTCACATGCCTACTGTCTGATGGAAGGCCCCTTCCATCTTTGCAGCATTTCAGAATTTTGAACCTTTCTGAGCTGCAGTGGAAATATATCTAAGGACTGCTGTTGCAGGGCTTTTCTTTTCCCCCGTTTCCTCAGAGGGATCAGTGCATCTTCACACAGTAAATATCTTTCTCAGATGTGAAGACACAAAACTTTTAGCAGAGCTGCCAGAACCAAACATCACCTATTTTCTTTTTATCAGTGTGATAACAGACCCTAACAACTCATTATAGCTTCTGGGTTCTCAACTGCAGCATAACCTTCTAGCTAGGCATTAATAATAACAATTGTATGATGTTTGTCTAGCACCTTGTATCCAGTCTGATTCAAAATCATTTGTCTAACTTGAAAATGTGCTTTGTGTTATTGAAGTTTATATTATTGTATCGTATTTATTAGTTGGTCCCCCCCCCAAAAAAAGCAACTTACCAAAATGATGAGAGCCAATTATAATCATGGATTTATCTGTCATCATCCCACATGCAACAAAGCTACTAGTTGCAAAATGACCCACCATTATTCTTTTTCTAACTAAATTAAGAATCTAACCTAGTGGTTACCAGAGCATAGACAACCTAAGTTAGGGCATAACTCAGCAACCAGTTGAAGGCACTTCATGCCACCAAAATCACTTGAGGCTTCAAGCAAAAATAATCGACCCAAAAGTACTCTCAAGCAATGCATTTGCTTCTTCAGGAAGAGCATAGCTTCCTCCAGAACAGGCCATGTCCAGTGTAGATTAAACTTCAATTTATTTGCTCTCTCATCCATTCCATTACCAAGCTTAGACATTACTCCAATACATTCTGTGCCACACCTACAGATGTAAAGGAAAAAAACAGAGGTGTGTATAATCAGCAAAATGTTGACACTGCATACCAAAACTCATGATGGTCCTAATCATGTAGCGGTTTCCTGCTGATGTTTCCTCTAGATGTTAAAGACTCTCCTCTTCCCCGAGGAGAAGTGTTGTGAGCGGGAATCACTTCCCAAGCTCTCGGGGGGGGGGGCGTGACTGGGCCCCTGCGTCACTGGAGTCCTGTGCCCGTGTCAAGCACCCTAGCCAGCCAATCCACCTGGCTGTGGGGTGTGGCTTAGCTGTTTAAAAATGGCCACGGGCACACGAGTGCTGCCTTGTTGTTCCAGCTTTCTCGGATCACCCTCCCTCCCTCCCTCCCTCCCTCCCTCTAGGTTTTACTTCTGCACCTGACCTTGCTATGGACCTTGGTTGGTGTCCTTGATTGTCCAAGGGGCCTGGTAGGAATTTTTCCACTTGGCAGATTGGCACCACCCACTTGGTTTTTTGCCTACCTCATAGCAAATTGTCATAACTTTGACTGGGGGTGGCCGCTGAGACCATATAACTTCGGTCTTGAAAGACCTGCATTGGCTCCCAGTACGTTTCTGAGCACAATTCAAAGTGTTGGTGCTGACCTTAAAACCCTAAATGGCCTTGGCCCCGTATTCCTGAAGGAGTGTCTCCACCCCCATCATTCTGCCAGGACACTGAGGTCCAGCTCCAAGGGCCTTTTGGCGGTTCCCTCACTTCAAGAAGGGAAGTTACAGGTAACCAGGCAGAGGGCCTTTCAGTAGTGGCACCTGCCCTGTGGAACACCCTCCCATCAGATGTCAAAGAGATAAACAACTACCTGACATTTAGAAGACATCTGAAGGCAGCCCTGTTCAAGGAAGTTTTTAATGTGTGACATTTTAATGTATTTTTAATCTTTGTTTGAAGCTGCCCAGAGTTGTTGTTGTTGTTGTTGTTGTAAGGTTTGGCGGTTAGGCATTAAAAATGCGTTGTGTGTTGGAGGGGAGGTTGTGGCCATCACCTACCCCTCCCCTTGAAGAGTATTCTGTTAAAGGAATCTGGTGGTCGTGGTTCCTGTCCAATGCCCAGGGGATGGCTAGGGCCATGGCACGACCCTCCAGTGACTCTAGGGGAAAGCTTCCAGTTGATTTGTATCAACAAGCTCCCCCTACAGGTTGCTAACCCTTGTGTGACTCCCTGCAGAGCGGGCAGGAGTCAAGTATAGTGTTTTCGGATCCAATGCCTAAGACAATACCACTCACATTCTGAAACCAATAAAGTTGTGGCTTTTTTTAGCCCATTAACCTAAAATGCTTGTGTCCATGTGTCTTAAGGTAAAGGGACCCCTGACCATTAGGTCCAGTCGTGAACGTCTCTGGGGTTGCGGCGCTCATCTTGCTTTACTCGCCGAGGGAGCTGACGTTTGTCTGCAGACAGTTTTTCCGGGTCATGTGGCCAGCATGACTAAGCTGCTTCTGGCAAACCAGAGCAGCTCACGGAAATGGCGTTTACCTTCCTGCCAGAGTGGTACCTATTTATCTACTTGCACTTTGACGTGCTTTCGAACTGCTAGGTTGGCAGGAGCAGGGACCAAGCAATGGGAGCTCACCCCATTACGGGGATTTGAACTTCCATACCAAAACTGGATGTAAACCCCATAGTTTAGTTACCTATGACATGTGGTTCTTTATTTAGATGGCCCAAAATATTGTAGCTTGGAATTGCAAGAGGAACTTACAGCTCTTCCTTATTAGATAACCATGCCTCTGCATCAATATTTTTTCATAATAAAATAAAATAATTATTTTAAAACATAAAATAGAATGAATGGGTTGTTTGTGTCCACCACTCTGCTCTTCCACAATAGATTTTCTGCCACACGTCCATTAAAACTCGATATCAAAGCACAGAAACCAGATTCAACCAATGAAGGAACTTTTTCCCATTTTGTAGTCTTGATTAACACATCACACTGCTCTGTGTATATATATAAAATTAGTGTTAATAATTTTATTAAAACTATAAACCCTTGGGTTATACTAAATGCAAAAGTTGTGCCCTTTCTTTTATTTTCTAACAAAGATGAAAGAGGAAGTGGCTCTGTAGATCTTTTATTAAAAAATATTAACTACCCCTTAATTTGGACTGGAAGCATCATTAATATTCATTTGTATATAATTGTCTTAATTTTTTGTAATAATGACTTCAGTAACCAACTGTTTGATTGATGGAACTCATGTCTTCTCTGTGAAGGAAATAGGTTGTCTTATAAATTTAAAAAAAGGCAAGGAAACTGCCATATATTCATGCATGATATTTTTAGCTGCCCTTAATTACAAGCTAGCTAAATAAGCATGCAAACAGTGCTGTGATTGATAGGCTCTTTCTGCTGAAGTGATTGTTTGTCATAAAATGGGAAGGTGTGCAAGTCAACTGTGTTCTAAAATAAATTGGACTGGAATCAGCTGGGTCCTCAAATCACTGCCTGCAAAACCAAATGGCACCAGCAAAGATAAGGACACCTGGGGTAGGATCACACAATGCATGGTCTGCCATGCCACATGCAACCTACTCAATACATTATGAAGTCTGCTAGTGTCACAGGGGAGCTGATAGCTCAGGGCTGTGACTTCTACTATTCCTCGCCCCCCTGACTCCCAACTTCCAGTATTTCCCAGCTCCTTTCCTCCTCTGGGGTGTATACTGTTTCCCACCACCACAAACCTGGGTCCAGACTACCCTCTTCTGCACTCTCCCTGGAAGCTTCTTGGCAAGATGGTCTCCACCACTTCATCTCATCTAGCCAGTCCCTGACAGCTAGGTTCTTGACAAACAAATATTTGCAGTGCCAGAGGAACAACTGAAATAGAAGATGTATCAAATCCCCGGTGGCGAGTAGCCAAATATGACTAGTGCTCTAACTTTAGCTGGATGTAACCCAAGTGATCAACTATGACCAACGGGTGAGATGAGTGTCACATTTGAATATGGGAAGCTCAGATTCAAACTTTTGCTCAGTCACTGTACTGACCTTGCTTGGGCAAGCCAGCACTGTGCCTAAGTCTAATCTACATTTCAGGATTGGTGCAAAGATTAAAAAAAATAGACAATTCCATGAAACCACCATGAGCTTCTTGAAGAAGAAGGGAGGGATACAAGTGTGAAAAACAATACATAACTCAGTGTTATATTTCCTCTCAATCAGTAAGACTAATAAGAATGAAAAGGATAAAATAACACAGAGAAAAAGAAATATGCTATAATGTGCTGCGGTTTAGTTAATGATGCTGGCTGGATAGCTTTGTTGTTTAGAGTGTGGTGCTGATAACGCCAAGGTTGCAGGTTCAATCCCCATAAGGGACAGTTGCATAATAATAATAATAATAATAATAATAATTTATTTATACCCTGCCCATCTGGCTGGGCTTCCCCAGCCACTCTGGGGAATCCATAAAACATTAAAAGCTTCCCTAAATAGGGCTGCCTTCAGATGTTTTCTAAAAGTCTAGTAGTTCTTCTCTTTGACATCTAGTAGGAGGGCGTTTCACAGGGCGGGTGCCACTACTGAGAAGGCCTTCTGTCTGGTTCCCTGTAACTTGGCTTCTCATAGTGAGGGAACCACCAGAAGGCCCTCGGCGCTGGACCTCTCGGTAGAACAATGGGAGTGGAGACGCTCCTTCAGATATACTGGACCGAGGCCGTTTAGGGCTTTAAAGGTCAGCACCAACACTTTGAATTGTGCTTGGGAACATACTGGGAGCCAATGTAGGTCTTTCAAGAATGGTGTTATGTGGTCTCGGCAACCACTCCCAGTCACCAGTCTAGCTGCTGCATTCTGGATTAGTTGTAGTTTCCGGGTCACCTTCAAAGGTAGCATAGTCCTGCATTGCAGGGGGTTGGACTATTGTAGATGATCCTCAGAGTCCCTTCCAACTTTATGATTCTATGCTAATAAAGTCTGCAAACAAGGTGTCTGTACCACACATTTTTCTCAGCTCACAGTACTGGATGATGGTGACGACAATAAGTTATCTGAGATCTGGAGTTTGTATGTTGCTCCAGTTAATTCTGAAGGCTTTGTGTAATTGGTCTGTAAGAACAATAGCAATAGATGATTGATATCTACTAGTTTTTATTAGGAGTCAGGCATTTGTACTCTGAAACTTACTGAATTTATAATGAATAACAAGACATTTCTCAAGCCAGTGCCTGACATTTGTCCCTGCACATCACGAACCATCAGATCAGATGGCACCATGGCTGGTACATACTCAGTTTTACTCAAACATGTTGAGAAATTACTACTACCTCATGGCTGCATTTTAGTCCAGCTTTAGCAGCCACATTGTTAGCAGGAAGCTTCCCAACCTAATTCAAGGCTCATCTGCATTATACATTTAAAGCAGTATCATGCCACTTTGAACAGTTATGGTGTTCTCTAAAGAATCCTGAGAACTTTAATGTGTTAAGGGTGCTGAGAGTTGTTAGAAAACCCTTATTCTCCTCACGCAGCTACAATTCACAGAGTTCTCTGGGAAGAGGAATTGATTGTTAAACCAGTCTGACAATACCAGGGTGCATTTGCCATCGTTACAAGACAGAAAAGAACTTCTGGAACCTTCCCCAATGCTAAAAAGTATCACACTAATTCCATGTCAAGTTGAGAATAGTTTGTGCATCACTATGTCCAAGTTAGAATGGGGTGTATTATGGAATAATGGTGCCTTTTAATTTTCCATTGGTTCTTCTGCAGAACAATGATGAGGAAAGAGTAGTCAAAATGGCTTGTGAACCTTCTCCATGGCTGAAGGTGCTTGAAGCATTTCCACTGAGGAGAAATGAGAACCAAGGAGGGAAAAGACAAAAGTTTTGGGATGCCATATCAAAAGACTGGAATTTGGGCTCTTAAATTAATTAGAAGCAGTTTAGGAATGGAAAACGGGAATTTGGGCTCTTAAATTAATAAGAAGCCGTTTTAGGAATGGAAAACAGGAATTATTATGTCAGACAGTACATAGTTAATGTATGAAGTCCATTGCCCTAGTTTAGGGGCTCTTTAAATTTTACTCAAGCTGTGCAAAGCGACATTTCCATGAGTGCCTCATCTGTGGGCAGGGTGATGCTTGAGTGAATCAACCACATATCTGAGGGCCAATGGCAAGTCTTACCCATTCTGAATCTATCATTGTATCCCAGTGTGATCCAGCAGGGCTCTTTTTTATGTTCTTGTGCTAGCAAGGAAGCAGAGCCTGAATGTTCTAATAATGTCTATTGGAATTGCAGGAAGTGACTTGCAAGTGTTCTGATGGCCCTGTGTTCATGCCTCCTGGAAAATATCACTTGCAATGCATGAATATGTTATTGAGATTCAGAGGGGGGTGGGATATTCATGCAATCAGGACCTTTGTGGGTGAGGATCCCAGTCTCTCCAGCTGCTTGCTGTTTCTTTCATCCTCTTCTAAAATATCACATCATCGTGCTTGTGACACCCAAATCAGCTTGTACAAAAGGAGTTGATGATGATGAAGGTAGCATATAACTTTATAAGGAGAAGATTACTCAAAAGAACAGGTGAGCACTTTTAAATGTGAGGCTCTGGATCTGTGGAACTTTCCTCTCCTTTGAGGTGTTGTAAAACTTATCAAAACTTTTTCACTTCCTGTTAAATTCTTTCTATGCTTTGCCTGAGCACTTCTAGGTCATGAATAGTAAAATCCTAGGGATATGCATTATCCACCTGAGAAATTTGTCATAGGAGATAGATAGATGATCGATCGATCGATCGATGATAGATAGATAGTCTAAAGGTGACTTACCAATTAACAAAATCCAGTCACATATTTAAAAAATAAGAGCTATGTTAAATATCTGAACTCACGATCACCACAAAATTATCAACCAAAGAATAAGAAATGCCCCCAACAGCACAAATAAGATCTCAACAATCAAATGTTTGGGAAAGAGAAAAGTCTTCGCTGAAAATATGTTAATAAAGGTGTCAAGTACTCTGATGTGCTTCATAGAGGAAAGATCTCAATGTCTCTCTCATTCTAACTCTTCCTTTCCATCTTGCAACATTTTCCTCCTTCTTTGTCCCCAAACACAGAAGCGCCACACCAGAGCTTTGCTTCACTGCCACCTTGCCTCACTCCTTATCTCTCCCCTTCCTTCTCACATGATTACCAGTAATTCCAGTGGTGGCTGCTGCCGATTAGGACTGCTGGGGTGAAAGGCAGGGAGACCACAGTGGAATCTACATCCATATTAAAAAAAAACATTGTGAAAATGCTTTATTTTAAAACGTTTTAAAACTACATTGAATTTTGTCACTTTTGTATGTTGCACTTTACAACACCTTTAAAACGTTTTATTTGCATCTGTGTAGCTGAGTCCCAGGAGCCGGTAGAACAAGGGTCAATGATAGGCAAATTCTAATTCTAGTTTCATTCCCATGCCTCTCACTGCTGAGTTGAGCCAGGGCTGTCTCTTCTAGTCACTCTTGTTCCCAAAGGGCTCATTTTCTGAGCAGAGATGAGTAGGTTGCTGTCAGTTGTAGAGATACTGTGTCCTGAACAAGTGTTGTCCCAGATTTGTGTAGTGATGTAGGTTTCAATATTAACAGCAGTGGTACCCCCTTGATCTTCCTGTGTAAATGAACCTCAGGTGTCTCAAAAAATAATTGTGGTCTGAGTTATGTAAGTATGAACTGCTTCTGTGTTTTTAATAGCTCATTATGAGATCTCTAACAAAAACATACAGGACTTTGTTGTTGACTTATCCTTGTTGAATGAAACAGAAGGGGCCATCATCTTTGTGTTTTGCTTGCGAAGAAACACAGAAAAAGGTCTATAAACCAGAGTCCTCCAAGATATAATTGGGATTAATGCAGTTTAAGCTGCTGCAGCCCTCTGAGAATTGAAACCTCTAGCTCAGATCACTTGAAGAAGGCACAGCCTTTCACAGGTCAAATAGTGTGCTACACGGGAAATCCATGTGGGTAATGCCATTAATGGAGGGTATTCACACTGATAAACCTTATGGCTGCGAAAATAAAACAACAACAACAACAACATGCAAGCCAGCTTGATACTTTCCCAGTTATTGCTTACATTATTCCAAAAGCGAAAGGAGCCATTTATATATTGGTATCACCATCACTTCGGATGCGGGTGGCGCTGTGGTCTAAACCATAGAGCCTAGGACTTGCTGATCGGAAGGTCGGAGGTTTGAATCCCCGCAACAGGGTGAGCGCCCATTGTTTGGTCCCAGCTCCTGCCAACCTAGCAATTCAAAAGCACGTCAAGTGCAAGTAGATAAATAGGTACCACCCCAGTAGGATGGTAAACGGCATTTCCATGTGCTGCTCTGGTTCACCAGAAGCGGCTTAGTCATGCTGGCCACTTGACTCAGAAGCTGTCTGCAGACAAACACCAGCTCCCTCGGCCTATAGAGTGAGATGAGCGCACAACCCCAGAGTTGTCCGCGACTGGACCTAAGAGTCATTGGGTACCTTTACCTTATCACCATCACTAATACTATTGACATTACTGCCCACCATTACTAAAGCTACATACCTGTGTTTTGCACCTAGGATTTGTATCCTCAAGTATAGAATGTCAATATGAAGTGAAGTGTCTCCCATACCTAGGTCCACAGTTATGATATGACATGCCACACTTTGTCTGATCAGATGCATGAGGCTAACATACAGCATAAGTGAAGCACACAGGCTGATTGAGAAGCACACCTTGTTATCAATTAACAGAGGAGTCTGATATAAATATACCACCTGAAGTCAGCACATTACAATGAGGAGACAGAGAAACATCAGGCTGAAGGTTATATGAAAAATAAATTTATTATAAAATGTATTAACTCAGCCTTAGGGAAATTCATGCGCAACTAAAACATGCACACATTGGATTTTTACAATAAATGTATCTATATTTCACGTGCACCCATTTCCCCCCCTTGTGGATAAATGTACCTGCGAAAGAGCTTGCCAATGATTAGTCTTTCTCCTCCAACACTGATTTATTCACCTACACAAGCCCTGTACTTTTGCCTTCCCTTGTATTAGATTTTCTCCGCAATATTTGTTGGCCTTGCTCTTTGAAACCTCACAAGAATAATAAGGGTCAATATCGCACATTAAGTACCTTGAAAAGTTGGCAGCCATGTTGTCGATTCTCTCTCTGAGTTATGAGAGCGCAGAATGAAACAGATGTGGCTTCATAAAATGTGTGCTACATTACATACCAAAGTCCTGAAGAACTAAGCTGAAGTCATAAAGATATTCTCCATCACAAAGAAGCAAAATATAAGGATAACAGGAACAGGGGTCCAATACAAGGTCTAGGCAA